ATATATTGTTTCAATGAATAAAACAATTATCATGTCCATTATTTAAGAAAACTTTTCTCTTAATCTTCTTTATATTTAGATAACATGAACAAGAAACTGTAGTTCTTGGAAAAATACTGTACAAAGGGAAATAAAAGCTTAACAGAAGGAATAGTCTATACAAATATGAATGTACTAAAAAACTGTAATATACTTTTCTTTGTTTCAACTTATAGATTTTTATCTTAATCACATATGTGTATATTTTCAGTATAAACTACTGATAATTAACTTTTATTTAGAAAAGTAATAAATAAATAAAATGAAAAGAAATCATCCAACTTTTTGAATTAAAATTTACGAAAATAATTCATATAGTTGAAGTCATAAGTTGATTAAAGCTGGACCACTATGGAAAACCTGGAAGTATTGGACGGCCATTTCGTCTTATTATGAGACTCATCAGCAGTGCGCATCCACGATCTCGCACCCGCGAGATTCGAACCAAGGACCTATGATTTCAACTACATAAAATTGCTTAAATCTCCACAAAACTCCCTTCTAAAAATAATTCATTTTAGTAGTTATTTTTTTCTTCTAAATAAATTTAAAAAAACTTATGAAGAAACTTTTCTTTAAAACATTTTCTTTATTCAACAACACTAATTTGTAATATAATGACTTCATGAAAAATATATTCTATTTTTTAAGATATCTGATTGTCATAAAATGCCATCAATTAGAAAACAGTATGGATAAATTCTTTGTACTATTCACACAGTTCTCAATATCATATTACCTTCCACTGTATATGAAACAGATTCTTATGATAAACATGACGTTATCCATTTAAAAGGTTGGAATCTCAGGATTCATACTTCTCGATATCATTCAATTCATGATATACTGTTTGAGGCTGTCTACTATATTCTTAAATAAAATAATTTCGAATTCAATAACTTTCGATCAAAAATTTGGAAAAGATCCTATTCTAGGGAAAATTAATATGTGCACTAGATTATAATTCAACTAAATGTGTTTACTGCCAATTAAATAAGTATTGAAATCTATCTGGATTTTTTTTATTCTTCAGATAATGTCCCTTTATTCAAAAAAACCTATCCTAAAATGTAAGTTGTATATTTGATGTTAGTTTTGTGCAACGACGTTGTTTATGATGATAAGGATATCTACAGTTGGAGATAGAAACATTCTGTGAAATTGTAGGTATGGACTCTATAATTTTTTTTCTTCTATTCGTCTGATGTTTCTGAACAGCTTCTAGTTCGTCATATGCAGGACTAAACAATAGAAATTCAGTCACCGATTTTTATTTTATGACCTGTTATCTAGTTATTAGGTTTGTAACATAAATTTACTTGGAGATTAAATAATACTTTGTGTAGGGTAGGATAAATAAAATCATATGCTCTTTCTTAAGAACCTTATATGGATAAAGAAAGAAAGTGAACATTGTAAACAATATTTTTAATGTAGGCTATTTAGCATCTAAAACAATCGGAATACTTTCCAGTGTTAAAAAACCTTCAAAACAGTCATATAAAATGGAAGTTTATTAGTTTAAAATTCGGATACCACAAGAAAATCACCAAAACTCACAAGCAGTATAGAATAGATTTATATTCATTTTGAAGTAATATAAGTACATTGTTGAATGAAAGGTAGATGAATAATAAGATAACTATCTCTTCTAAATACCAACTTATATGTCCAAAGTTATCTGTATTTCTAATTAAATGCTTCATACCCATCATAATTGACTACTTAGTATTCTACGTAGTACAGACTCATCAAATCTAGCAAAAAATCCTTACTTACTATTCACTGATCTATTATGATCAAAGCTTAAAAAAATCTATGCATCTCAATCCTTCAAATCTCTTGAAGCTTACAGTTCAGTAAATAGATTGCTACTAAAAAACATATTTGTCTGTATTTACTCCATTTTTAATTCATTTAAGACATTTAGTTATCACGAATGATACTGAATTTTATTCATCCTATGAAAAATATTTCGGTTAACGAGTTGAATCAGAAAATAAATTGTGAGAAAACAGAGAATCAGCCTTTTTCAAGTCGGATAACATTTATACTCATTAAATCTTTTGGGAATTGGGTTTATTGATTTTTGATGCTTATTTGTTATTCATATCAAGTTAAATCCTGATAGAATTGACCAGAGAAAAAGACAATGGATCTCGAGTCACACTTCAGCCGATAATATCTGAAACTTGTTAAGTGATCACTAATTCGTTGTAACTTTTCCTAACTTCTTTATTGATTCTAATCCAAACAGAATAGTAACACTTCTGGTATTAATCGTTACATTTGTTACAAACTTATGATGGTGCCAAAATAGATTTTGTTTATAAAAGGCTCCATAATTCTTATTTTTACAATTATTGCAAACATTAGTTTCATCAAAAATTACACTAGTTAACGAATTTCGAATAATTTTGTAGGATATGAATGTTTATACTTTTAAATTGTACTAGTTCAGTATAAAGATGGAATTCAGCTCATTATGGCATTCACTAACCTGAATAAACATACATAACTAGGTTTCTATTGATCATAAATAGTTCAGTAATAGTGTTATATTCTTAATTATCTTAATTAATATGAATATAACAATAAACTATTTACAAAGAAAACTTTTAATGAAGTAGAATAAGAGCATGGATAATAGTGAGGTTTTGAATAACACAGCTTTGTTTAACAACTTGTTACTTTATCATTTCAGACAAATAGTGAAAATTATCAGAAACTATGGCGACATATAAACATTTACTTTGTAAAAATATGGTCAGTTGTAATTTAATTATTAAAATATTTGTACACAAAGTATTAAAGAAGTTATCAAAATAAATTAAACTCACATTCAGAACATAGGTATCTCAATAGTTTTAAAATGAATGGGAACATTTTCATCGTGAAGTGGTGTCAGTCGGAAAGACTTTTGTGATCAGCTCGATTTGGAAACTACCCTAGAATTATATAATAACTTCACATAATAACCCAACTTATTAACTTAAAAGCGACATCATCTAAACAGAACGAATGTTAGGCAATAAGGTTCACTGTTATCCTAATTTGAAATGATGAGTAAGACAAAGTACGATGTTAAAACCGAAAATAGAATAAATAAGAATAGATGGTAAATATGTATTTAAATGTTTCCAAAAGCTGAATAATCGTAATGGTGGTAAGATGGTGATTTTTCATTAAGATTACTCAATTATAGTTATTGGTTAAACGTTTCCTAAAGGGTGTTTCTAACTTCTTAATATCATACAGTAATAATTTACTTTTTTATCGTTGAAATAAGTAAAGAATAGAAAGTTGAACATGTGTTCAGTAATAAAATATTATAAACTGTGATCTTAGAAAGTATTATATAACATCCAGGTTAATGAAGACCTGTAAGTAGGCAAGAATATATTCTTCATATATATATATATATATACTTCATTCAATAAAGGAACATCAGATAGTAACATTTATAAAAAGAGCCTGCAAACAATAAACAGAACTGATGGAAGTTTGTAGTCGGTATTATTTAATTATTGTTAAGTAAAGTTTATTTCTGTTTTCGTATCCTCTAAGATCGAATATACAACAAAAACGTGAATAGTTTAAAAATCTCTTCTCCATAAACTAAAAACGAGATACAGATACTAAGAGATCTGCTGTTGAACTAGCGTTTCTAAAGAAATTGGAGCTAGTACGAAGCAGCTACATAGATGAAGTCGTGAAGAAAAGAAGTTTTAGATTTGGTCACTACTTTAGTATTCGGCACTAGTATTATTGTAATGGATAACTGTTACTCAACTTATATAACTGCAAAATCTAATCAGCACTTTTTTGGATAAAAGATAAAAGCTAGGATATTGTGTTTAAGAAAGTAAACTGTGGGGTTGGTGATTCATTTTGTTCAAACAAAACAAGAAAATATTGGCGCTAACAATTATAGTCAAAATAAACATGACAATAGAAAAACAATCAAACACATTTACAGAAATGAACCAACAGTTTAACAGTAGCAAAATAGTGTTAGTTTATAATAACGATAATAACAGTAGTACAGTAAACAGTTCCGTACGTCCTACAAGTTGTACAAAAACCCCCCAGTAACTTGTTAGTTATCCTTTCTAAAATTTCTTAAATTATTTCACAGCAGGGGTATACGAGTAGATTTCAATAACTGTACACTTATCTATGTGTTATTATATATAAACAGTGATTAACTGTTTCCCGTCACATCATTGGGTACTGATAGATATTTAGACCCATATAATTGAGTTATGAAATACGACGATATAAGAAATGAAACCAGGTTGATATTTCTACAATAAACAAGCAACCATAGGAAATTAACTATGAAGTCTATTTCCCGATACATATAAAAAGGTGTCATTTTAAAAAAGCAATCGAATCGTAACTCAAATCAATGAAATATATTTCCATGAATATTAGGACATCGATAACTAAAATATCTAATAATCAAAGTGGAATTTGAAAGGGATTCAGGCATTCTTCGCTTCAAGTTTCTACGTAAACAAAGAAGTTGAGTAATTACTTATAAAAACTGAAAACTTGAATTTATCCATGGAGAAAAATGTTTTTTCCTATTTCTGATAAACCTAAGTTGTGATTGGTTGTCTTCAGAAGTTCTGTTAACTTCATGTACCTGTAGATTCCCATTATTTATTTTGTCGGACTGGTCTTTGACCATATGATTTACTGAGCTTTGCTTCATTACTGACGTATCAACATAACTGCTGAGGGCAGACTGATTTGAGTACCAAGTTTTCATAAATTACCCGGCTATCCTAATGTTCCCACAACCTAAGACTTTATCAATTTATCGTATGAATTTCCGTCTGAAGTTGTTTATATGAATTATTATCAACTGTTAACATATGCTTATGATTACGTAGATGAAAGAAATGTCCACTATTACTAGACTAGTGATCGTCACAGTTAGATTAAGCTATCTTCTAAATGATGTTGGATGATGATGATGATGATGATGATGATGATGATGATGATGATGATGATGATGATGATGATGATGATGATGATGATGATGATGATGATGATGATGATGATGATGATGATGATGATGATGATGATGATGATGATGATGATGATGATGATGATGATGATGATGATGATGATGATGATGATGATGATGATGATGATGATGATGATGATGATGATGATGATGATGATGATGATGATGATGATGATGATGATGATGATGATGATGATGATGATGATGATGATGATGATGATGATGATGATGATGAAAGGATATGAATTGAGACTAACATATTCCTAAATAAATCTTAAACATACAAAAGAACTAATTAATAATTCTACGTACATTTGAAGTCAAGAGTTCTATGTACAAAATATTCAATAAAGCAGTAAAATGTAAATCAAATTCATTTTTTGTATGATACAGGAAATGAATTAAATTACTTGAAAACAAATTCAAAAGATTCAATAACAGTAATGAATTAGAATGTAAACTAATTCAATAAATTTGTATAGTTGTAGATTTCAAATACAAATGAAAACATTTTTCCATTGAATAAACATAAGTAATTTGTAAAGTTTACTGATTTCTATATATATATATATATATTCATAGGTAGGTATAAATATATAGGTAGATAGATATAGATAGATAGATAGATGAATGGGTAGATAGGCAGATAGATAGGTAGTAGATAGGTAGGTAGGTAGGTATAGATAGACAGATAGATATAGATAGATAGATAGGTTATTTATCATAGTATATTAAGTAAATTAATGTTATTATTACTTTACTCTAAAGAGATAAAAAAAATATTAAAAAGTAAATCAGTTCATAACTATTTTATAATGAAACTCTTATTATCCAATATCTGGCTCAATATTATTTATCATTAGAATTGAATTGATTTAATTAACTATAAAAATTAAGTTGATAATAATTTCTATTCAATCAATTTATACAATATTATTATTGAGTAATTAGTAATATATATAAATAAAATAAAATAAAAATAGAAAATAATGATAGATATTTGTTTATTTTTATGAATAAATAATTAAAACAAAAAAAATGTGGAAAAAAAACAAATTTTTTTGATCCAGTTATAGAAATGATTTATTCTTATGAACATGGATACTAATCAATGAATTGAATAAGAAGAAATTATATTTCATTTAAACCTGACAACATCTAATGATTGATTATGATTAATATCCAATGGTGATACGTCTTATTCTTAAATTGTATTTAGTTTGTAGGTATCATTACCAAGTTTTGATTTGATAATTTTGAATAAATTGAGCATTGGGTAAAATGTTATAAATAAAAATAATATATTTGTGATATCCCAAATATCAAAATACTACAGAAAGGTTTTTCCAATTACAAAGAAAGGAGAGTAGCTGAAACGTTCCATATAATGCTTAATCCTACTGATCTCAATAGAAAGGAAGGCCTTACCATACATCCTACTTGAACTATCTATCCTACTCACCTAGTCTGATATTATTCACAACTTCACATTATTACATTACAAATTGAACTCTATCCTTTGTCATTATAAAAATCACACATTTTTCATCATTAATAGTGAACACACACACAAAATTACATACATGTCGCTTATGAATCACCTTGATCGCAATGAAATGATATGACATTGATTTATTCAGACCTGTTTTTTTGATTGATCACTTAATATTCGTGTTATTCCGTTGTACTATTTAAACTTAATTTGGTTATTTATACTCTGAAGAAGTGGCTTACACTGAGTTACAAGATGTCAGAAAATCTAATTTTTCTACTCATTGGGACATTACAAATATATTGATTTATTTGTATTTAGTTTGTACAATTTCAATGGAAAAAATAATCATAACCTTTGATTTATTGGAATAATTGTAAAATCAATCACTTCTCAAAGATATTATTGATCATATGATTTTTAAGTAATCATTGACTTTTCTTTCTTTACACCCATCTGTTCCTCCTTTGACTTTCTATATGAACCTTCTATCCCCAACTGGTTTATTCGTGCTTTGTATGATCCTCTTGAATACATTTAATCTCAATTTCGACATTTTATCTTATTATGTTGGGCCATCTTTTCCCAGTGATAGTTTCTTTATTTACTGCTGACTAGTTTATTTTACATAGCCGAATAATATCACTACGCTTTGTACTAACAGTGTAGTTGAATATTAAATATTACATTTGTATACTTAGTAACTGCATTATCTTAATCACAAGCCGTCATACAAAAAAATATGACTTAAAATGAGAGTAAAAGAGGCTGTGTATACTTGGTTATTACATTTTTTTTAATGTTGAAGATTTCAATGATCATTATACTGTGATTTCATTTTATAAATGTTATGTTAATTTCCATTAAATGAACATATTATAGCAATTCCAAGAATCGGATGATAATCATTTAAAACTTGTTTAAATGTCGCTTAAATATTATTTATTACCAGAAATACAGTATATCACTTGAACTACATCAAGAAATTTAATAAATTTGTGGATGTTAACATATTCAAAGAGTAGATACTTGACTTTTTGACACATCTAAATAGCTATTATTCTGAAATTTACATATAAGGTTGTGTTACGTATATGATATATGAATGAAGATTTCTTTGGTCATTTATTAAAAATAGTCAAAGCTATGAATTCAAAGTTACTGTTATTTATCTAAATGTCAGGAGGTGGGTCTATTTAAGATTTTAAAACATCATCAGCAAAGACTAAGTTTAAAAAATGATCGTTTGTATTAGATTGAAATTTCACTGATCAGCTGTTTACTTTTGGATGTTAACTGTACTTTAATATCACTATTTGAAATAAATGACCCATCAATGTTCTGTTCCAATCAAATTATACTGAGTGATTTTATAATATGATTATTAACTTGGATTATTCTGTTATGTTCGCTACTTCATTAACGCAGATAATGGTATACAACTATGGCACTCGAACGCTTAAAACCCTCCTACAGTCGCAGATCAGAAGACAGAAGAATACTGGTGAAGTGCTCGTTGGGTAAAAATCAAAATGTACGGAAAATCATGGGTATTTATAGATACTATCGTTCATTATATCAACATTATAATTCAGCCAATCCTCAAAGAGGCATGTTATGCTACTGTCCAATAGTAGGGGATTGCCTGTAAATAAGCTGCCTTTATGTTGTCATTCAAAACGGAGGATTAAAATTTCATTTTCTCTTTTCTCCGTTAAAACTGACTATGAAAAATACTCTAGCACACAGCTATCAAATGCTGTTTTGTATTTACATTTTAACATAATATTATTTGCTCCTTATGTAAAGTTTGTTCATCTATATGCAAATAAAATAATCTACAACTTTCAACACCTAAATAAAAGATGAACAAATGACTATATTACAACATTATCCTAAGGAGTAAACGTGTCTCAGAGTATTTCGCATGTTCACTTTTGATATCATAGATATATCTAAACCATCTGCTAAATTACTATTTGACGATTAGTCTCAATATGCTCCGTGAGGAAGAAGAAACAGATGAATTATAACAAGTTAAGTGAATGCTTAGCTGGTGGTAGTTGAGAGCAGTCAGTTCACAGGAAGTGATGATCTTCTAGAGAGTCATGGGCAGCCTATACGGAATCGTTATAGTGTTTACACGACTTGGTTGAATCTCCATAAGCTATCTAACTTTTTCCACACATATAGGTATTAACCTAATATAACAAAACGAATGGTCTGTAGATTCATGCAAAGTGTTTGATTTAAAATGGTGAGAAATATTTAAATGCTCACGTAGATAACTTTGCTGGAGTTTTGTACTCCAAAATGGATGGTTTGATCATGGAGCTTTCATTATTCTTCTGAACAAAATTTCCAGCACATACTTCAGACAGAAATGAAGTATGAGCATTTTTCACATATAACAGTCAGTTTATAAGCAAAGATTAAAAAAAGTAGCTAGCAGTGGGATCCGGGATGCGCATTTCGTCCTGTTTGGGACTCGTCGGCTGGACGTGCCTGCATGTCACAGCTGATGTTCACTCTAGGACTCGAACCCAGTACCGTTCGCTTCAGACGTCATCGCATTATTCACTTAAGACTGAGAAGGTGAACACCAACTCTGAGATTCAGGTACATCCGGCTGACGAGTCCCAAATAGGATGAAACGAACGTCCTGAATTCCACTGCTAACCACTATTCATCATTGCTTATATTGCTTGTGAATTAAGGCTATATCGAGGCAATACGCACAGGATGCACATATGCCGACAAGAGACTGATCAATTGCAGTCCTAAACATCAATGGAAAGATTCAACCAAACAATATCAAGGGAATTTAACTGTCAGTTTGTTCTGTCGACTTCGGTCTTGATTGTTTATCGTGGGCCTTTAACCTGTCATTATCAGCCTCTTTGTTTTAATAGTATCTTCTGTTGATCTGACTCTTGGTCCCAAACTTGTTCATGATTTTTCTAACTGGTTGATAAATTTGATCGATGTTGACCTGTATGTTAATTGCTTGATGAATCACGTGCTAAGCTTCTAAGCATTTTACACACACATTTTTCCAGTTGGATGTGTATATACTATTGTCCACATGCACTGATATAAGCTAAGATGTATCACTGCGTTTGACCTCTAGTTAATGTTCATGTAGACGAAGATGGAAGTGGCATCCACTTTGCCAGATATAGTGCGTTTTGCATTTGAAACAGTTTATCTTGTAAATGATGTTCAGTTTTTCTTCTTTAGCGGTTTCTTACTTTAGTTTGTATAAAAATGATTGAAGTGCTTTTGCTGATTTGTGTGCTACACCTTCGCCAGATGGCTATAAAAATCTCATTATGATTTCTGATATGTCTTTCGCATATATTAGGATGGTCCGTATGTTGGCTGTGTCGGCTTTACTTGACAGTAATATTATTATTTTAATTTTTCTATGTGGTTGGTATGTAAAATTCCATCTTGAATTCATGAAATCATATATTTTCCATTTCTCAACCTTCGTTGGCTAAACCTTTATTATTTGGCTTAGTCAATGTTTACCTTTATTGTTTAGCTTTGCTGCATGATCCCCAACCATTAAAAATCAGCTCTTGTTTGATGGAAGAGTTGATTATCTTTTCTCTTAGATTGTCTTTTGATAAAGGTTATAGTTAAACTGAATCCTTGCAAATAGAAATATGACCTCATTATGTTAACAATATCCTTGTGATTACCAGGTACTTAACAGTTGTATTTATTAACCATTTTTCTCTGTAAGTTACGTTATATCGTGCTAAAAACATTTTTGACTAGGTAGTGAGAGCTGTACTGTTGAGTTATTTTGTAATTTTTGATTTAGTTTGATTTCAAACTAAGATCTTGTGAATCATACACGAAATATGTATTTTAATATAATTATTAGATATACGTGACTCAAAGCAGCTTCGTACACTATGCAGAGGAACATAGTTGGGCATGATCGAATCAACTTTGAATCTTCTGGTCGGCCATAAATTTGCGGTTTGGTTGTTATAACTTGCTCAATACTTTTAAAAGTAGAGTCCGTCAACCAATATGAGGCCGTAAAAATTGAAGAACGTTTGAAACAATTTGCATAAGCCATCGAGCAGTAAACAGATTTGTAGATCATCAACGTTGATGATCTTTGTCGAATGATTGGAAGCCTACCCGAGTTAGATGGGAATGGTGTGACGAACCAGCTAACGTCGAAGTCACACCTTGCGGTCAACATCTAACGTGAATTACCCCTTCAACGTATCAAAGTACTATGACTGCTTTGCAGACCGTAAAACACAAAGGACGTTGTTATGGAAATATATTAGTAAGGATGAGTGCAGAGAAGATAATGAGACCACAAACACATGGGCCAGTCCATGGCATATGATTAGTTGACGCACGTTGGTTGTCCGTGACCTTGACGGGATCCATGATTTGTTCGATATTTAGTGGCCTAAATGCCGGATGATTTGGCTAGTGCTCAGTGATATTTCACTGGCCGTACAGATTGGTCTACTTAATTTTACATTTAAGGTGATCACCTAATCGAAGATAAGTTAGAGTGATTCAGCTATTGAAGAGTGATGTGCATAATATCGATGGAAGGAGCTGTATATTATTAAACTGCAAGCCATGGATACGTGCATGTAGCAGTGTTCCCACCTCGCACCACTGTCAACTGCTGTCGCTTATTAAGAGTATTTATTTCAACTAGTCATCTTGCTGTCATGATAGAATAATTGTGGTGTTTGTATTGATTGGCGATTCCTTTGTACTTGATGACCCGCTGATTACGAATTCCGAATATAGTTCCTTCATTTCTGCTCATCTAGATATCTTGACTTGCACTATTTCTGGAGTTCTTAGTTAACGCATTATTTCGAACACTTCAAGCTATTATAATGGCGTCGGGATGGAGCCTATCACTGGACAGTTGGATATGCATTCGAATTCTAAAGCCTTTTGAAGACTACGTGGAAAGGTTTGAAATCTGAAGTAGGACCACGAAAAATGTTAAGGATAATAAAGCTGTGACTCATTTCTTCACTTCCATCGGAAAGGATGCCTAGAGCTTACTGAAAAATTTGGCATTTCCAGATAAGCTTATTTCACCTTCCTATGCAACTGCCGAAGAACTACCATCAAACCACGTATAATGTGAAAGAGTGAAATTTCATAAGACGATTGGTCAGGACTAGTAGAAGATTGCGAGATTTATCCTCGAATTTCAGAAACAAGCCGCCAACTGTAATGTTGGTGATCAACTGCATGTGCAGTTGCGTGACCTATTAATTGCAGGAATTATCGTATCAACTTTGGAGAGAAAACTTATACAGAATCATTCTTTACAATATGCTCGAACTGCATATATTAATCATAATGTAGTGCATGAAATCGACTTTCAGGACATTAAGAATTCTACTACGTTACTTGGTTATCCTAATTCCATACTGAACCAAGGTCATACAAGTTGGAGTTTGATTGAAGATAACCCTCGTTCTCATAAAAACATGGATAGCAATTCATCAAGGAGTTGCAAAGCAAGTTACAGAGGTGAGAGATAGTTTGATAAATTTTCACCCTGTGGCGAAATTAATATGTCCTTCGTCATGCCAAGTGCCTTAAGTGTGGTAAAACGGGACACATCCAGTAAGTTCGCAAATCCGCTGTTTATTTTGCCTAAACTTCGTAATTCGGATCCCATTTATTTAGGCAACTCGAATATTTATATACGATTTTTATTTACGACTTCCAGCAATTCACTTCTTATTTAAAACCAATTATATTTTTCCATTGATGTTTTTCACTATTTTGTTGTTGACACTGGCAGTGTCAAGTCCATCATTTCAATCGGGAAGTTCAAGTCATTAAATCCCGATGCTGTAATTAAGCCTATCAAAATTTAGAATTCGAGTATTACAAGTCATAAACGTCCTATTCTTTGGTTTTGCAATTCGCCGATTAGCAACGACAAATCTGCAATTGTTAAGTGTGAATTACTTATCACTGATTGTGAACCTTCTGTCCTGGGTCTAGAAAACTTAAGAATTCCTCAGGGATAGCTTTCCTCACTGACCACAAAAGATGGTGCTAACGAAATGCTTGATAACTTGTTGACTACGGAATAGAAATGCGAAGAATGAGGCAAGACTCAAAAGCCTCTTCATTTCAATACGCAAGCAAGAAATTTTAGGGCCTTCAATACAAACGTCAATTTTATTACTGCTGCAAGATACAGAGACCTTGAGAGGAGAGGAGATAATGTCTTTCAGTAAATAATTGCCAGACCATATGTAGAAGAAACAATGACGAAATTGCATAACCAAAAAATTCTCCCACAAATTATGAAAGTTTACTGTCTGCCGATGCTAAATACTACCAAGGAACTGATTTTCCACAATCTACGAAAGGTCTATTAAAAAAGCTTAATAAATCTATGGTTCATATGCAAACTAGTCACAATAACGGGATACGCTGCAAGGACCGAGGTGGATTCGTTCCAACCTCCGTCATTAGTCCTTATACTAATAATTACAGCCTAGATTATGAAGAGTCTACACCCAGTATGCAGCCAGACACATGACAAACCTGGGGAGACGTACAACAGATCACAGGAATCTGGATTCCTGTTCAAGTAGTGACGGTTATGGAATCTGCACTAACTGATGATGCCTTTGTAATTGATGGCTCTATGGTTACCAATCCCAAATATAATACATTTGTACTCATCTAGTTCTACCTGCTCAATTTGTACTATATCTTTAATTCTTACTTAGTACATGAATTCGAAAACTTCAAACCGTCATAAGAATTCAGACTAAGTAATAACCGTGTGTTCCATATCTCTTCCGTTCAACTTCAGTAGCTCCACAATCTCCGACACAGACCATCTACGATGGCGATCTACACTTTTATTATCTTCCTAAGCATAACCTATGTGCCAACTGATAAAGATAATCGTGGTAGGGACTCTATGATCGATTAATTTACCCGCTTTTTATTGGTCTCAGACACATGGGTGATTCGGCAGAAGGATTGTGAATTCGAACTTTGCCTTTTGATTGCAAGCAACTCACTAAAGCACCAGACAAACAATGCTCCACCACAAATCAAGAGACCAAAGATAAAGACGTTCGAGACAGAACTCGAAAAAAATGGCTTTAGATGGTAAGTCTTGTTATATTAAAAATGAAAAAGTGGGCTCATGTGGCTTGGTACCAGTAACACATGAGGTACTAGGTAAAATGTTATAAAATGATATTGCGAATATATATCGAACAAAAATAAGGAATTAGAAATTTGACGGCGATGCGTACTTTTTCCGCCTTTAGGAACGCTTTCATCATCCGGTTGATGTTTGCTTTACTACGTGTAACGTTTTCTTAAAGTAATTGTTTAAACTACTCAATTGTGAAGGATAACATGTGACAACAACTTAAAGTTACTGAACTGTTGGCATTTTCGTAATGTTCGTGTCGTAGACTTCAATTACTAATGGGTTTATGTAAGTGTGAAAGGAGACGGGTGACTAACCTGTTTTGTTTTGAGCACCGGGTTAATGTGTGCGAATTTTGTCTGGTGGCAAATCATCACAAGGTATGCATATGCTTGATAACTGTCATTACAGTAGTGCATTGTTAAATCCTATCTTCGATGGATAAAAGACAGTGATTTTAACCCATCATGTAGCATTTGTCACGAGCCTTTCGAAGCAGATCCTTCCAAAGTATGTGTCCGTTTGGTGTGCCTTGGTTTGTGAAACGTATAACGTGTATTTGAGTAAACAACATTTTTTAGATGTTTTCCACTGGAATTGCCTCAATAATTACGTGATAAGCTTACCACCAACGACAACCCCGGCAGGTTTCCTCTGCCCGTTATGTGGTCAACCAATCATTCCTCAGGCTAATCATGGCGGCCCTGTTGCCGAAGCGCTCAGATCGTGTTTAAGCGAAGTTGGTTGGGCCAAAGAAAGTTTGAATGAAATAAGACCTTTTTTCCATTTGGAAAGTCATCCAAAGTCCACCTCAACACCTAACGTGAACATCCGTGTTTCAAGTGAGCTGATTAATATCACGTTGGTTCAGTTAATAGCAAGTTTGATATCTTCATCTGTTACCCGACAATGTGTTTTATGTGACTGCTGTTCAGTAAAGTCTGTTTTATGTGGTTTTTTATGATGATTTTCTATTTATTCAAATTCTTTACTGCTTTCGGCGAGATGATATCTAGTCTCATATCTATGTAGTTTGTTTACCATAGTAGATGTAGTCTATTTCCTTATTTTAGTCTAAGATGATTAGCCCGTTAAATCCCGAAATGTTTGACTCTCTAATGATTGAAGAAAAGGCAGTTATATCGAAATACACATCTATTTGGCTTATGGTTGGTTCCAATGTAGTTTGTTTGGATCTAGGCTTCATTCTCAGTAAGAAAATGCCAATTGGTACGTTTATGATGGCTATGCCGGGATTTCACCTGCTCAAAACCAAAGTGCAGTTCTTAAACGTCTACCGAATATGATCACTGATATCTAGCCTCCGGAAAACAAGTTTTCGTTGCAGAGCTAAGTGACTTTTCTGCCTACCCACCCCAAATGCCCTGGTACGGTCGAGAGTGGGTAGGGCCCGTCCTCTCTCTCGAAATGCTCTTACGCGGCCACGCGTATACAACCACTGTCAGGGAAGTCCTACTCACTGCCTTCTCGTGACGGGGATGTTGTTTACGAAATTGAGAGGACGAAAATCGAATGTCCGGTGCTTTCACCGGGCCAGTAGACATGGCGAGTCCACCTAGGGGATTTGGGAAACTTTGATTCCAAACCAATGGTGCACATGGGCTCCAGTATCCTGAAGGAACAAATGGCGAATGAACCGGTTATCGGTCACCGGCTACCATGGGACTTCATCTCCTTACGATGCTCCACTGCCTTGTGGGTCAGACCTTTAGGTCAAAGGCTTGGGGTGTGGCCCCCTAAGAAAACCTGTTTCGGTCTGGGCACCTGGACAGTATCATAGCCCACACACAATTAAAATGAAATAACAATTTTTTGTTTGGTGCATATATATTTGGTGCCTCCTTTTACCAATATTTATGTGCTAAAATAAGATAAGAAACCTTGTGCACTTTGCACCACGATATGTGTCGATCACGTCCAGTCGTTGCAAATTTCATTATTTCATGTATTCTGCTTACACCCTGCTAAAAATCAAGCAATGCTCACAAAATAATGCCATTCCTTCTAGCTGTTTATTTGGTCAAATTTTTAGACAAACAAAGTTGATTGTGCCATTTCGGCCACAGATCTTAATCCAAACCTCGGACCACAGAGTTTAAATGAAAGTAATTTTGAATCTGACAGATGAAACATTGGATTTGTAGTACTTTTCAGAAATCTCATGAGAATAGCAGCACACCTCAACGTTAGGACCTTTAATAAAATATCTCTGTAACCCAGTCCCTTAAAGCTCTAATGTTTAAAAGAACTTATCCAAGTGGTAAACGTAGTTTCACATGAGCTACGCTAGCTACCATGTTTGTCAACAGCATTTAAAAAGCTACTATTTAAATAAGATCGGGATTCTCATTAAGTCAAGCTTTTGAGTGGTGAGATTAAAGTTAAATTGATTTCGAGTCAAACTACACGAAAGTAAATCGGCAGATATCTATAAAGTAATGAAGTGCGAGTATAATAATGTACTTAATTTTTGTAACCATGGTTTTACAGAGAAGTTTAACCCTATCCATTTCGGATAACCACTTGTTTGTGTAGTAATGTTACTTAGGGGATGTGACAGAAGCATGTGACTTTCCTAAGTGACTCTCTGCTTTTGAGTCTAAAATGTAAGCATTCACTTTATAAGATGATCCAAACAACGCTGAAAAATGCATTCATATGATGCTCTGTGATCATATTAGGTTCTCTAGCATATGTTTCTTCAGGATCATAAATCACATGTACATAACTAGTTCAGAATCATAGTTTTCAATTTTCCCTAGATGAACCCTCCTTTATACTCGGTTTTGTTTCGAATGCGAAACTAGCCTTATTAGAGTTGTCATTTAATTTGTATTACCGATAATTAACTGTTCAAACGATCAGCTAGTAGATGCTCAATATAGTTTACACCATTGAAAAGTGTTTGCAGATAAGAAATGTTTTGGTAAAACATTTTGCTATGTTATGGGAATGATTCACTGTTTGGATAAAGAGTCTTAGAGGAAACAATGTCTAGAAATAAGAGGAAGATGATTATAAGGGTTTTGTAAAAGAACAGCAACTGTAGAATTATTATAGAAAAAGCAGTCTTGTTGTTAACGTATTAAACCCTCAACCGAGTTGTAGCAAAGTCGAATCTCTATCTTCCGTGGTACCAAGTACATGGACTTATATTTAGTTAGTTGTTGCTATTGAATCCATAACTTATGTATATAGCTCTAGTGATTTGCTGTATGTCGTCTAAGTTTTGCTACCTGTTTTCTGTACTGAATTAAAATAACAACAATCCAGTTAACAAAAATAATCTTTCCTGAGATGGTTGTGAAATATTGCTTACCCGTATCTACCATATAATATGACATACTCTGGTAGATTAGGTGTACGTTAACAGAAACCCCACATGGTTAGTAGAACTATAATTTTAGTTCACGAGGTCTGACTGAACCTTGTAGGGTAGTGTAGGGCCTCTGGTTTTTATCCTCTAAATGTTCGAAATTAATGATCAAACACATTGTCCTTATTCGTAATATTTTGTATAGCTAACGTTAGTCAGTGTTTATTGGTTACTTTGATTATCTGTAACGTGCTGATCCTTTCGGTGCTTAAGATGCAAATAAGAACTTAATAGGTTTTCTGCAAACTGACTTCATGTAAGAACAGTATGTTTTCCTATCTGACGATTCCCTGACGTTGTTTACCACCTGATCTTTTAACCTTTCTCGCTATGTACGTCGATTTCAATTTTAGATCCAACAGATGAAAAGCTTCTCGATCCACGTCTAGATGTAGCTGCAAGACAATATTTGAAAGGACGTGACGTTACAGATATATTGGGGAGCCCTCAGAAAACAATAGGATTCCAGATAGACAACTCCAAGAACACTGATATTTCCCAGCTACATTATCAACGAAACGATCAACCATCGTTAGACTCCCAGAAGCTGTTCATGCCTGAAAATGATGATAATGATAAGTATAAACGACATCTAACATTGTCATGGTTCACGCGCTTCCTTCGGTAAGATAGCCTTTCCCCCATCTGCCGTTCTTTGCTTGGCGCTTTAAAGAATTTGACAAGCTAGGTTTCATTGACTAAATATTATAAACACCAGAGACAATTAAATTATTCACAAAGATATACGGAGGACAAACTCCTCCAGTATTATGATATACAATAAATATGTCATTCAAGTCTAAAACAGTAAGGATTAGTAAAATATTAAATTAAATTTTCAATAACGAGACATTAGACCAATTTATTTGTCCGGTAAGAACTTTTCCATGTTATCTCCACCCTATGGTGGATTTACAAAACCGATGAGTAAAGAACTGAACTTCCAGACATCAATTGCCGCATTATTAGAAGGGTTGATGCGTACTATTTCGTTAGCGTTAGGTTTATTGATGATTGTATGGTTATAATTATTCATTATTGGTGAACATTTTATTATCATCTACTCTAAAATGTATATTTGATTTACCATAACTCAGGAGCAATAAATGTTGGTCTAGAATAGTCCATAGCTATCGATATAAGAGATGCTTTTGCCAAATCGTACTACTCAAATAACTTCTGTATTAATCTTTACATTCCTTTAAAATTTGACACTCTTTATTTGTGTAACTAAAAATAGTTTTAAGTTTGTTTTATGTTAAAACATCAAAATCTATTGTACAGCATTTATTTCCGTTTGGTATCTGAAATTACCTTTTCTGTTTAATGCTCAGCAATAGTTTAATAGCCTATCAAATTCAGATGCAAATTAATTCTTGTTTTCATATAGTTAGATCCCTTGATAAATTTAGACAGCAGGACAACAAGGTTTGAAGAATAAAATGAATTCATTATATTTCATGGTTTATTATCAGCTGCTTACAACCCAAAATTATAATTATTAATATAATTATTAACAAATGTTCAACCTACCTTAGTTAGTGAAGTTTAGATAAATGTTCGAAACGTAACCAAAATGATTCTCGATTTATTCTGAGGATTTCATTTCTATATACACAAAAACTACGTCAGAAGTTGAAAGAATATTTGAGCCCCTGTATGTCTTAAAACTAGCAGTATTTTCATTTAAAAATCAACATATTTTAGTATAAAATAACTTTCCTCGTATGTATATTTAGTTATTATTTACATTATTATGGCTATTTATCTTCTTCTCCAGGAGGCATGCATCATACTTTACACGTTTATCGGTTATTCGACGAAATCGTCTTACTCTATTAATTATGGGTTGTATAATATCTATTTTCCTATTGGGTTTCTATGGTTCTCAACCGGATATCACTGGTGACCCATTATTAGATCCTCATATGAATCCAAATATTCGTTTTAATTTGGAACCTATAGATTCAATAAAAGGAGTCTTAAATAATGATAATAATAATAATCTTAATAACGATAGGGATAGAGGTGTTATTGATGGGTTGAATGAAGTCTAATTCTACAGTAAGATGGTATTTCTTCTAAACACTATCTTCCTTATTGTGATTCGAACCAATGAACACTTTAGCTCGATGTAACTCATCATTTTATCTTTTATTGTCTAGTTTATAATTTTTCTTATTTCTTGTTATTCAAATCGTTAGACGTTTTTAAGCTTTCAATGGATGACTTGCTATTCATCTTCTGTTTAGTTAGATTCGAATGTGCATGTCTGATCGTCTGTTAATCGTATATTTTGATAATTTTTATATTTTTCCTACTCACTCCTGATTATCACCAATGTAATACTATCTTTGTACAACCTTATTTTAATAACTGTATGCTGGTGAATAGTGGTTAATTCGCCTTCCTTTATGTTTTGATAAATCCCTGTAACTTATTATCCGATAAAAACTGATATTCAAGTTTATGCTTCTGTCCCTGAGTTCCTTCCTTAGTTAATATATAGTAACCAACATTCGCTTAGGTTTTGTATTAGTGATCAGATATGTACAAGATATTTTACACTATTTAAAAAGTCACTACGTTTGTTTTGAAATCTTTCTGGTTGCGGATATTAGATCTTACAAAGCTGTGTTTTTCTTTTGTTTGTATATTTCAACAATTTTTCGTGAATGTTAACTATCAGATGACTGACTATTCCGAATAATTAAGAAAAACTAATTCTGGGTTTCGGTTAGTGATATGTCTTGTAGGTTGAACGCCTTATTCGGATCCTAAGCTATTCCGATAACCCCAGGACTAGCACTACTCAGCAACTTGAAGACCAGAGAGAAGACACGGGTATTAGAGAAAACCTTTACTGCAAGGATCATCTTTGTACAGAAAATCGTAGGTATTTATAGATGTTTGCTTAAGTTAAATCAACATCCTAATTCAGCCAATCCAATTAACGACATAAATTGCTACTGACCACGTTGGAACTCCAGAATGTTCTGTCTTACTCTGATTGGTTGGGACTCTTTTTGAGCCTCTGGAGGTTCTGTTGGAGTTCGCTGGAAGCCGACTTAACAGTTAGCAAGCTTCATAGCTACACAGTAAAACTATACCCGACATAAAGGCATAAAGTGGCAGTACTTAGAGTTTTGAGTTCCTAGGGTTTTTCAGTGACTGCTAATGCTAACATGAATCTTATATGTTAGAGGATTTAGTCAGACATTAGTAGATAGTAGTAAAGACATGTTCCAATAACAATCCCGATGCGTTGCATGGAAGAAAGTTGTCTTGATTAGTGAATAAATTGTTTGTAGTTTGAGATAGTCAGTGAATGCTTGTCTCACTAAGAACACATATACTATTTTAGATCTAAGTATATTCGGCCAAGTGTAAAATATCAAAAAACTCAATTCTGGAGTCGCACTTGCACTCTACTCTCATTTCATATTTTCCTGCATGAATTATATGGTTCCCTCTATGAACTTAGTGGTAAGACTGACGGGGAGTTTGGCTCAGTATTGTTGCATCAGGCCTTCAAGTCTTGGGATACTTCAGTAAACACCCATAAAAATCATTTCAGTCAACGATATTATCACATGCTCAGAAAAACGGTACAGTTATGGTTGACGTCTCAGGATGGTTTGGAAATATTCCTTATAATTCTATAGTTTTGTTTAAAAAATACTGAGAGCGTGCTCCGTTAATTTTATTCAAAATCCCAAACGAACAAACAGTACTCAGGCCTGTCACGTTACTTAATTTTTGAACGTAAGATCCCAGTGACCAAATGAACGTAGCGGATCTTTTGGTAAAATATTGAGCTGCTCTTCAGTTTAAAAATAAGGGCTCCCTCTGACCCTCGCTTTTAATCATTACTGAAGTGAAACCAAACCACTTGGAAATATTTCATTTTGTTTGCGATTCATCTTCTAGAGACAATGGTTTTCTGATGTGATTCTCACAGAATTATAATCTTACATTCATTGAGTAGTCCAGGTAATAAAAAGTTTTCTTTGTCAGCGCACTTCCTGTACGTGGTCCTAGTTTTTGTGTCTAGAAATTTTATTCCCGTTTTCCCTATCTGCCTTTCGTCTCATTAGTGCTAAAAAAATAGCCACACGTCTTTCCGCCTTTGGTATCATGCTACTTACTGTCTGATCATCTGTTTCCGAAGTAAACTTCCTGAGGTTTTAGCATCTGTAGTAGGCTTCGAGTCGCAGTTGACTATGATCACCGCTACATGAAAACTACGTGCCAGTTACTAGGTTAGATCTCTCCGTAGGCCAAATACCAAAAGGCAATCAATGGTTGTAGTAAGATGTATTTGTTGGCAATCTTGTGGTATCGAAATAATACCGAGATCGTGCCAAAGTTTGCAAGCCGCACTACTGAGCGTGCGCGAGTCCGTACCAGGTCACAAAGCAACTGAAGAGTGCCTTTTTGGCACACTTAAACAAACAAGTACAGCAAAACAATCATTGGTACAATTGGCTATAGTAATAATACTTGTTTCCGTTATACCGATTGTGTTCTCTTCATAAAAGTAGGTCACTACCGGATCCCCCCGTTAGAAAGGGTTTAATTCGTGGGACTGATCGGCAAACGTGCGGTCGTAGGACGAAAGGGTTAACGAACAAGGAGCGATTGTCGATCCTCGAGTTGTCACAGAAGTTCTTATGTAGGATGGTACCAGGAGTAACGTGCTATATTTGTTGCTTGAGTTAGCGTACCACACTAGAGTGGTTTCTTATCCGGGATTTGAGGATTGTGTTCTCAGGGGTTCGAACCAGTAAACACTGCAGGCGTAGGACGGAACCATATTGAATCAAGAAACAGGAAGCGATCATAACTCCCAGCTTCGAAACCATACGTATACTAGACATATTCGAAGCCAGAACATTAGCTGGGTGCGTTGACAAGAGTTTGGGTAATCAGGGCAGCTTTCGCCAAGGTTGACTGAAAGTCGATGGTACCAACAAGACGATGGCCGGAGGCGTGGGCTCAAGATAATAAAAATTTCAGAAAAAGGTGAAGGTGTAGCATGCATGTAGTATAGGAATAGAGTCAAATACATTATCCGTTGTTGATTGAGAGGTCAGTCGCGGAAGCATACTTTGAGACCGGAACGTGAAACGGTAGTCTCGTTCGTAGCCCGTGAGACTGCAATCTCATCCAAAGTCAAGGGTGGCGCGGTTTATTGATCTGGACGTGATATTGAAGTCTCGTCCGTAGATAATGCTGATGACATGTGCTGCTGACAGGGATGTGAGAATTAGAGAAATCACGTTAAAAGGTCCTTCATGAGGTTGTTGTAAAGATTTGTGTACCGAATCTGCTCGTATGAAAACGTGTGAACATGTAGATAACTCTCAAGGAAGAGCAACCTGTCGATGCTGTATTTGAGTTGACACCGGAGGCAGTGTTTCCATTTATTCAGACAATCGTCGGACGTAGTCTCATTTACCAAAATTATCACTGCTCGGTGGTGTGAAAAATTCCCACGGCAGACTCAATGTCGTGCCATATATATGTTCAGCTGCGGAACACTGAATACCTCCCTTTACACTCGTTCTGATACCTAAGAGGACGAGCGGTAGGGTTTCGTGCCAAATCTGTTTTCGTGTTCTCGAAGTTCACTTTTGAGCTGGCGATGAAACTGTTCAAATAAACCATTTGATGTTAGGCGGTAGTGTGTATGCATTTCATACCAAGCAGTTGTGAACTGAGAGATATAGTATATATGTCTGCACTCTCGTGGTGAGTAGCAGTCAGACGTGGTATGCAGAGCATACGTTAAGGATTTATTGCAGGTGAATAAGATGAAATCGCGACCTTCTATTGCGTGCCGGAAATGCTTGATGGCACAGTGGGCTGATGGCAGTTCTCGGACAAAAGCGTTATATCTCGTCTCCGTGAGAGTGAGGCGTCGTGAAAAAATTCGAGAGGTTGACAACTTCTGTAGGTGTTCTTATGGTAAAAGCCGATGCAACAACCGCTATACTAAGCGTGGCTGATGGGTTAGGACTGTGGCTTTAGCCGTTTCGATCTCTGAAAATGCAGTTCACGCGTTGTCCTTCAATTCCAATTTACGTGGAATCCCGTGAAGTGAGTTGGTCAATGGTCGTAACTATTTGAACAGCATTACTTAATCCCAATAGCAATTGCAGGAACTCAAACAGACCGAATGAAGTGTGGGGCATTTTTTCCCGCAAACGAAATGCGTCTGTGATTCAGTACGCATTTGCTTGAACTTTAAAGCCTATTAACTTGCTGTTCCACGAAGTACCGAAAAGCTGCCGCCCATGTAAGTCGACTAGCAGTAGTAAATCGATACTGAGTATGGCTGTGGGAATATCGGCAATGATGAACGTCCATAGATGCTGTCGTCCGTTGCTCAGGTTGACTGTAAACCATCGTATACCATAAGTAGGATTGACTGAGCCGTTCGCAGCGCGTAGTCAAATCATCGTAGCTTCAGACTTACTGCTACAAATGAGTACGACAGAAACCTGGCGCCTGTATCTGCTAGGTACTAGCGTCAGTGCGATAAACAGGCACATGAAATAAAGGGCCGATACGAGGTGAAGGGCCGTCGAGTATGGCCTCATTTACTCGCCGGCTCGAGAGTTTCCAGCCTTGTATTAGCAGGAGGCTCGACAACGGCGGGCATCGGACCCGAAAGCACGGTGGAACCAGCACTAACCAGTACTCGCTCGGAAGATGCCTTCTTAGGGTGAGTAGTCGCGACTTTACGGGAGCGTGATCTGGCCTGTGGAGACATAGGGTTCTGGTATGTTGGAACGGCCTCGGAAATTGGGACGGATATGAAAACAGCGACCCTTATCACTTGGAGCCGAAAGGCGACCAGTGTCGAGATCGACGTTTAAGCGTGGCGCTGAAGCAACTATATAGTCGGGTGCTAGTCCTTGCCAATATCTCATCTGCTACTAGGGCCACCTGGTTAAGTGTTATATCCTCGAGCAGAACCGTGATAGTCGGTTGTATATTTGCTGATAGGGACGTGATCCATAGTTCTTTATCGATTTTGGAATCAGCTGTCGTGGGTCCTGCAAGAGATTGCAGGAGCATGAAGTGATACCTCTGTTAAGTGTCACCCAGGTACTGACGTGCCAACCGTGTCCTTAATCATTCCTCTCACTATCGGAGGAAATGTCTGGGAATTACCTCCTTGAGACGATCGTAGACCTTAGATACATTGGAGTTGAGGACAACCACACGGATAGCAGCAATGAGATCCTCCAGTAAAGTTTCTTAGAGCGTGAGCGTAATGCAGCGGGTCTCGATTTGAGACTTCAGTGCCGCGAACCAAATTTCTGCATCATGGGGAATAAAGGAGAAGGGTCGTAAATTGACAACATGTACCTTGGAGTCTATTATATTATTGCTACTGTTATCGTTATCCATCATTTCCAGTCGTTTGAATATTATATACTGAAAGACATTAATATGAAAATGTGCAACAAACGTGGATAGATAAGTAATAGACTTACCGTGATAGTCTTCTTTGGGAGGTTTTCCAGTGGTTGAAACGTGTTTGCTAGTTTTGTGTAACCAGCTGTAGTAGCCATTTCGGGTGTAAATAGACGAATTCTCCCTGTTTTACGTTGTGTGATCTCTCAGTTTGTCGGGGGTGATAATCTTTGTGGCCAATAGAAGCGCTCGAGTTCCCGGATCGCAAGATATACATCCAACTTTTTTTTATAGTGAAGTATGCTGATTGTTATTAGTGAAATATGCTGAATTAGTCAAAACGTGTGGTAATAACTTTGCATAACGGAGTGTAAATGTGCAAATTATACGATATACTTACCGCATTAATAAGTAATTTACTTATTAATTTACTCTGTTTTATTTTATTTTTATTACCCATTTTGCTATACATACATAGTTGTATATTCTTGTTCTGCGTTAAGATATTTACATATTCCGCGACTCTTTTATTTCTATTTCCTTAGTTTCTTCCTATCCTCCTTCAAAACCAATTCAAAATTCTTGCCAATTACGCAGAACCTGATTTATTATTATTATTATATTATTATTATTTTATTTTTCCTTCCTTTCTCAAACATGGCATATGTAATGCTAACATTATTGAAAATTGTGTATTATTGCATTTTTGAAGAAACTCGAAATGGTTTCTTCACAGCACTTATGTACCCATAAGGTGTTTATGAATAATAATAATAAACCAACAGGCATAGTGCTTGCCAATGTTATTGTTAACAAAATTTTTTCAGTCAAGGACCCCCAAAGCTTAACTGACCAGTTGTTGTGAGTAGCACAGAGTACTCAACGGTGATATGGTGCAGGTGCTTGACCCAACGCTTTCATTTAGGGTTTTTCCAGTGAAACCGATAAAATCACCATCAATGCCAAAGATTTACAAAACTGTTTATTTTAGGTAATTTATGTAGCACCATGTGCATGAGCAGTTTCAGGAAGTAGGTTGTGTAATCAGTTATACATCCCGAATCTAGATACAACATAGGTATGCAAATTCCCATTACAAACCACCAAGAACTGCGAAGCTAATAACTTCTACCCGAAGTTTGTGCTGATGATGTTATTGAGATGGACGATGAAAGCTCCACGACCAAACCATCCAGTTCAGAGACCAAAACTGCATTAAAAAACTAATAACTTTTCAGGAAATAAGACGAAGAAAAAACGTTAGGAACCGTAAAGGCTAATTATTTATTATTATTGATGGGCGTTTCCGACGAACTGGAAACGTACTTCAGCCGTAAGAGGAACAATTCAAACATATGCAACGGTAAAACGGTGAATCAATACGGCAGCCCCTATAATCAAGGGTCGAGTAAACCGAGAATGTTATTAATTAGGAAGTGCCAAGGTGGAACTAATGCAAAGTAAGAAAAAGAACCAATTATTTGTAACTCGTAGGATAGATTAAACATGATATACATAAAATACATGGATTGGGTAGTGAAATCAGTAGTCAAGAACAAATGATACCCTGATGTCGTCCACCATGCAAATGGGAGGGACTCGCTTACACTCAGGCACGTACATAAAGGAGTACATCCGAAAAGAACTCACAACAATAGTGCCCGCTTTTTGACTTATTTAACCTGCTGTTAAAAGGATCCAAGATATTATGACCGTCTCTAGAGCAATGACAACGAGATAACGTTTGCCAACATTCGCGGACACTTTTAGCCCCAGAACTCACCTTCATCTGGTCAGGTAGAAAAGAACAAGAAGACAAAATTTCTGTTGCACATATACGACTTTATTCATCGGTACTCAAAAACTCATAAAGATGTGCTCCAAATATCTGAGGGCACTGTAACAGAAACAGGAAAGTGCGGTATCAGCCATTCACTGAGAGGATGAAAACTAACTTAAAGGTCAGTAGTTAGTTACCAATCACATAGAGATGGCAAACTACATAGCGAAAGTCGTTAAGTCTTCATTTAAATGATTGGTGTGATTTACGACTAGTACTAGAACTAGAGTGCTAAAGTTCGTTCAGCACAGAAGTAATTAGTTCACAAGGAGACACCGTAAACAATCTAGTTAAAATGCTTATCGCAAGCAATATTCTTTGAGACGCAAATTTACACTAATTCCCAGATTGTCAATCAAGGAGTCTTAGCTAAGGCAAGGTCATAAGAACTAAGCCATAGGCTTGATGGACTTTATCTGTTTTTGAAACGTAAATTTATACTGTTAGTAAACACAAAACAGTTGCTTCAGTATATTAGACAGAAAAAGATGAAGAATAAATGTGACCAAAGGATTAGAGAAATGAGTCAAAAAAGTTAATATATTTTATGATAAGCACAAAAATTATGATTGGTGAATAAACAAGCTACAATCACGCCAGGTCGAAGTGAGTTAATGTGGTGGTGGATGTTTAATTTTGTCATCAGCGGGTTCGTTTATCAGTCGCACTTCACAATCTTCAAAAACACACCACTGCTATTGCCCTGTGTCTTTGTCGTTAAACAACTGGCTTCGTCAAGTGAGTGTAAGTTTCGTGCTTCCCAAATGACTCCTTTGCTTGCCGTCCTCAACTTTGCCGTTCGAAACTGTCCACCAGAGCCGTAGCTTACTTGCTCGAAAATGGCTTTAAGCCATAGACTTCTAGTTGCTGTAATATTGCAATAACAAATAGAGTTATCTTGGAAATATTAGCTGACTAAAGTCTTTGAATACGATAGAGGAGATTTAACTTTACTTCAAAATCACAGGCCTAAGAATCTCCAGTATAACACTAGCAGTAAAATTCCTTATCACATGAAATCACTTGTTCGCCTATTGCTGTCTTCGATTTCTCTAGTTCGTGATAACTTCAATCTATATCAAATGTATTCAGCTTATAATGACCAACATGCAAAGAACCTTATTTGGGTGGATGGTTAGTTTGATGCTCTCGACTGAGATCATACTTCCTACGGATATGTAAAGGTATTTTTCGGTTGGGTTATTTAGAAACTATTTTACAACTTTCAGGCAAATTTTTTGTTTGGTTTGAGCAAGGCTCTCATAAGCTATTTGGTCATCATTTAGTGATGATAAAATTTATACATGATCTGGGACATGAGGTAAAACCTAGAGTTCGGATTATCCGATGAACCTGTGTTATGCATAGCTTATTCTAGCTTCTGGACAAACCGACTTATCCATTCTTCTCAAGCTACATTTTGACCTTGTTCATTATTCACTTATCGACCCTGAATAATTTTATGTAAACGTATATGTGTTTATTTCCTATCTTACTCATCACATGTCTGTAACTTATTTTTTTCTGACAATAAATATCGGTTAACGCTTGGTTAAACTGAGTTGGCTCACTCCGGTTCTCTACTGCTCGTCATTTGATTTCGCCTCTCTCTCTCCTCTTCTCTTTCTTCGCCGCGATTCTCTAATTGTCTGTTCAGATCAACAATTGTATGAAATATAAAGATATGAAAGTCATTCTCGTATGTGGCCTGTTTAATTCACTGACGCGATTTAGGTCGATAATTATATACTGGGATTGGCGACATACATATTTTCATAACAGTCAGAAACGATTCAAATGAAGTCAGATTTGGGGCCACTTCAATCACTTAATAGTCGCGAACTTTGATCGAATAACAACAAATTGAGTGCCCCTTGTTAACATTAATTTCAAATTACTGCCCGTCGTTGCTACTGAAAGTTTTACATAGTCACGAATAGTTATCTGATAGGACGTTGTAATGTCAGCTTAAAAGTCACAACTTTTCTTATGCTCACCCAAGGATGAAATATGACGAAATATAGAGTACGGACGTTTTCGGATTATCATCCATTGACCGCATTAGCATGGCCATCTGGAATATGAACAAATAACCCAATGACATTAAATAGGAATAATATATTTGTAAAATCTCAGCGAATGAATAACCCAATGAATTTTGTTGATTTGCAAATATGCCCCATGTGTCTTCTTGATGAAGATACGAGTAAAATGTTCTTAATTTCTCCTCAGATGACAAAAAGACATATATGTCCTTGTCTTTATTCAATTAGTTTACTCATCCTCTATTTCTTTTTAATCACTGTCTTTCGTAGTCTGTCTTCTTTTGGGTAGCAAAATTTATTTTTTTAAAAAGCTCTACCATCTCATACTTTAGGATAACAAGAGAGACTTGACGTGGTACTGTAGTAAACAAGAACATAAGAGGGGGCAATCAAATGTATTTTAATGCATCATAAAGTTCCTTGATAAAATTTGAGGGCCACACATCAAATACTCCATTTGCAAAATATCCATCAATTATTTCAGACTTAAACGTTTCTTCATTTCCTTAACAATCACTCTCTGTTCTCGTTTTCTTACCTTCGATTTTCCCAACCTTCTTCTGCCAGGTATTCCACTTTGATTGGTGATACATACTACTTATATCTGTCGGCATCAGCAGCACATATCACTGTACTACTTCTGAATCTTAAATAAAAGAATCTCCGAAACACCAAACTAATGTCAGCGGACATACGATTGAGCGTCATTATTCGTCCAACTTTTAATCGCTACATAATACTAGGAAGGCTGCGTATATTTACAGTATTTGTATTATTAGTTAAGATGCTCGAGTGAATTCAGTAGGAACTTGATTGACAGTATTTCTGTGTGCCCAAATAACTAACTCAACTGGAATGTGCAGTAGCACTGGATGGAATCACTTTGTATTGAGAACGAACCGACATCGCAGAGGACTTAAATAGAAAGAGTACTGAGTTAATATACTAAGTAGTCACATGCTTGATCTGATCTTGTGTAATTCAAAATTTATTGCACGCTTGTGTGAATAATACACGTCTACATTAATTACCACAACCTTCATTTCAAAATCATTTGTAACTACATCAGATCACTATTGGATATATCAATAAAGGTCGCCGCCTCATTTGGTATCTCCGGAACACAGAAGGTAATGGGCTCGAATGAGGAGATCCTAACTGCTTTGAAGATTCTCCAGAAGTACAATTTAAAAGTAGAAGCCTTTAAGTTCTAGTATTGTCTTTAAAGGAATCAGAGCTTGCCTTAAAACAAGAAGCTGGTCTCATCAATGAAAAAATTGCAGAAGAATTTCTGAAATTTAAAGCGTCAGTTCTTCCTACTTTTTGTTACGATCTTTCAGTCAAGTAAAAGATGAACCAGAGAACTTTTGCACTAACTACCAGTCTATTCTCACATTTGTGGATTCGGTTCCTGATATGCATAAAGTAAAAAATCTAATTAGCTTCAATGGGTTGCGTACTTTCAGGTGGAGTTGTCTACATTACTCTTCCCTATTTTCGTCCATATGTATCTCCGTCTAGTTAGTGGAAACATTTGTGCAGAGGGTAATTTTATTCGCTTTCTTATTATGGCAGCCAAAAAGTTCCTAATAACATTTAGGAAATATCAAGAAGATTTCTATCAGTCAGATATTAACATGCTGTCGAACATTACTAGTTCACAACACTTGTCAACGAATCCTTTAATTGAATCATTTCGAGCTTCCGAGTTTGTTGTCAGTGTTTCGACCGAGTCTTATTCACTTCTGCGTCAGTTTCTTCAAGATAAGGAAATGAATGTCATTCAAAGCATTTTAAAGGAACAATTGTCACTTGAAAGTAAGGATGCACTACATGTCCAAAATCTTTAGTCATCAATGGCCCCCCTAGGTCAAAGCTCCAAGTCGATTGCCGTCGTGGTGCTTTATTTGGCGAGGCTCGCCTTGACGCTAACAAAGAACCTGTTTTGTATGGTCTTCTAAAAGATCCTGCGTTAGACTTACCAGTTGAAATGGATGCTGATCCTGGCTTCAATGACATTGATGGGAGCAATGTAGATAATAACGAAGGTAATTTGCCCCTAAAGTCCCTCACAAAAAATTACATACATATGTTTAAATTGCAATACGTTGTAGTAACAGTTATTCCTCTAAGAATATAATTTATTCTTGCTAGATTTGGCAATTCATCTTTAAATGGGATTACATACTCACTTTTGTTGCAAATATTTTCTAGTATCCAAAGAACTAATGACGCAATATTGTAATTATTTCACTCTAATAGTGATTAAAATATTGCTTAAACTGTTATTTCTGTTTCTGTTTATTTGTTAGATAACGGTGATCAGAGTGTTGCAAAAAAGAAAAAACGGAGAGATGGTATGATGTCAGGTTCTGGACATTCTGGTAGACCATCTCTTTCAAAAGATGTTAGCAAGTCTGATTCCAACTCTCCAGCTCTTGATCGAATTCCTCTGCCTAAGGTAATTTCCATTTACTCGTTGCTTGTTTTATAATCGGTTGTCATCAATTTACTCTGGAAGCGATTTGTGTTTAGGAAAACGAAACTTCTCAAGTTAGCATCAGCCCAGTTACCTAAGTCACATTTAGTTTGCTCTGTCCCAAAAGCCTGTTGATGCTTGAGTTTTGTGTACGCTTTTTTTCATGTGGGAGATTATGTCGCTTATTCTTACCCAGTACTTTCAATGGCTGTGTATTTCAAAGACTGTATTTTCCAAAAATTATTTCGAAACAAAAATTCAAAGTAAATTTGGATGTAGATTGACAAGACTTTCGCAATTATTGTAAGTGGTGGTGGTTTACTTGTTTCCGACCCGCGTATCCCACAATTAGTGTTATTGAGTATTCTCCTTTCGTGCTATAAGCCGAGAATCTTTCAGTAAATTAGTTTTTTTGTAATTGACAAAATTTATGGGCCCCCAAATGCCCTGGTACGGCCGAGAGTGGGGAGAGTCCGCTCTCCCTCTCGAAATGCTCTCACGTGGCCACGCGTATATAGCCCCTGCCAGGGAAGTCCTACTCACTTCCTTCTCGTGGCGGGGGTGTTGTTTACGAAAGTGAGAGGACGAAAAGCGAATGTCCGGCGCTATAACCGGGTTGGTGGATATGAAGGATCCACGTAAGGGAGTTGGGAAACCCTGATTCCAAACCAATGGTGTACATGGGCTCCAGTATCCTGAAGGAACAAATGGTGAATGAACCAGTTATTGGTCACCGGTTATCATGGGACTGCATCTCCTTACGATGCTCCACTGCCTTGTGGGTCAGACCTTTAGGTCAAAGGCTCGGGGTGTGGCCTCCTAAGAAAACCACTTGCTTCGGTTTAGGCACCTGGGCAGTATCACAGCCCTCTCGCAAATAAATGAAATGGAGCATTCAACTGACAATTATATTCTCGTTCATACTAGAAACAAAACAATTTGCATTATTACTATTATTATTATTTACCATATCGCTAATTCACCCCCTTTTATCCCCAATTTGTGTAACCTTACTTTTCAACTTATGCAGCAGCTCGCCCATGGTGGAAACTCTGTCCGATCTAAACGATCTCCAGTCACTGTCTGGTTGAAAGTGAGTGCTTCCACCGATTATGAATACTGAAGCAGTCTTTCTGAAACCACGTACGCCGTTCAAGCTGGCTTCCTTCAACATTCGCACACTAATGCAGATCAGACAACAGATAGGGCTGTCTATGTCTTAGGAAAGTCTTGATGTTGACGTTTGTTGTCTATCCGAGACCCGTATTCAAGACTCTAGTGAAGTACTACAAATCCGCTCTCCATCTGTCGCCTCGAAAAGCTTATTTCACGTGCGCTTATCCGGGGACCCTGTGGCATCTTCGTCTGGTCTTGCTGGCGTTGGTGTCGCACTAAGCGCTAGGGCAGAGGCAGCACTAATCGATTGGATCCCCATTAACAGTCGGTTATGTGCTGTTAGATTAGAAAGTTCCACCGAAGTGAGAAATCGGCGTGAGAAACGATGTCTGTTCGTCATCTCCGCCTATGCCCCGACAGATTGCAGCTCGGATGCAATCAAGGATAAGTTTTACCATCAGTTAACAGTTCTTCTCCAGAAAGCGCGTTCGACAGATATTGTAGTACTAGCCGGAGACTTGAATGCTCAGGTCGGGCGTCTAGGCACAGAAGAGAGTCGTTTAGGTGGCCGATGGGGACTTGTTGGTCGCAGGACAGATAACGGGGACCGTTTGCCGCAACTGTGCACAGACCACAATCTGTTTCTGGCCAGCACTAACTTCTGGCACAGTCATCGCTGGTGTGCCACCTGGAGTCCTCCCTCTGCATCCCAAGCCTGGACTCAGATTGATCACATCGCGATCAGCTACCGATGGCGTGGTTGTGTACAAGACTGCCGCTCCTTTTGGAGTACCTATCTGGAGTCTGATCATTCCCTGGTCTGCGCCAATCTCACCTTACTTTTCAGTGGCCAAAAGATTGACCGCCATCAACAGATCGATGTTAGTAAACTGGCTGCAACTTCTGTTGCAAGTAAGTATCGAGCGGAGCTAGCCTCTAGGCTACCATCCCACCGAAAAGTATAGATGAGCATTGCTGGCATCTTCACGACGCCATGAAAATGGCGAGTAAAGCCGCTTGCGGCTTCGTGAAACGTCCCGCTTACAAGCACTGGGTTTCTTCTGGCTCCTTACAACTGATGGGAGCCCGTCGGTCTACTCCGAGTGACCGCGAGCATGACCACAAACGAAGGCTGTTACGTAATGAAATTGGGCAAAGCTTGCGTAAGGACCGAAAAACCTGGTGGTCGGAGCGTGCTAATGAGATGGAAGCAGCAGCTGCATCTGGTAACTGCCGGAAGCTCTTCCAACTCATCCGAGCCACTGGCAGCAAGAAGTCTGGTGTGAGTGAAACAATCTACGAGGATGATGGGATGCCAATCACTAGCATCTCTCGACATCTTGGACGATGAGCAGAATTTTTCGAAGGGCAGTTCAACCTGCCTGCTGCTCCGGCAACATCAACCAGTTTGTCCTGCCCCCCATGGCCGGTGACGACTGATCCACCAAACGAGGCGGAAGTCCGCCTTATGACTTACCTTCAACTCTTTTTAAAGATGGAGGTGACTTTCTGACTAAGGAATTGACTGTGTTGTTTGCAAAGGTTTGGGAACAAGAAAGTGTTCCAACATCATGGAATGAGTCGATAGTCGTCCCTATCTGTAAAAAGGGTTCACGTCGTTCCTGTAATAACTATCGGGGGATGTCTACTTCCGATTGCGTCCAAACTATTCGTAGGCTACTAGTGTTCGATCATAGATGTCTTCGAAGCATTGCTCGTATATCCTGGGACCACCGGGTAAGTAATGCAGTTGGTAGGAAACGAGTACTAGGTAGGGATGGCAAATCGATTGATGAAGTAGTGAAAGTTCATCAGTTGAGATGACTGAGACATGTGTTACGTATGCCCAACCACCGACTGCCCCGACTTGCAATGTTTCATGGTGTAGGAGTAGGTTGGAAGAAAGCTAGGGGCGGCCAGACCAAACCGTGGCACAAATCAATGAAGTCACTGACAAGTGGACTGGGCCATGTTGGTAGGTGTAGACTACCTGGTTGGGATTCGCGAGATGACAGCAACCGATGGTTAGAGACCTTGAATGACATGGTTCAAAATCGTTTGCAATGACGAAGGTGCATCCACTCTTTGTGTTCTACCAAATTCTAATCTTCTGAATTCCTCATGTCTTTATCTTTTTCTCTTTCCAAATTTATTTCACTGTACTATACTCCTTCAATGCTTTCTTCAAACCCTAATCTTTTGGATTTCTGATTGTACTCCTACTACTTCTACCACTATGGGATTTGAATCGACAACTTTATCTCTGTGCTAATGTGGTATGGCAACTCGAACTGATGTACGTACGTACGAAGTTCTACGTTGTGACTGACTGACTGAAACTATTGGCTTCTATCATTCTTCGTAGGTTGTTTAAAACCCGAGAACGATTGACTCGCGAGGAGCAGGCTGGTTTTCGTTCTGGTCGAGGATGCATTGATCACATCTTCACCCTCCGCCAAATGTTAGAACACCGTCATACTTATCGCAGGCCAACAATCGTAGTGTTTCTTGATATCAGGGCTGCCTTCGATTCGTTGAACAGGACTGTTCTCTGGGATTGTCTATTGAAGAAGGATGTGCCTGAGAAGTTCATTAACATCTTAAAGGCCCTGTATACGAACACCTCAGACAGAGTGAGGGCATACAACCACCTTTCTCCCTTGTTCCATTCGAGCAGCGGGGTTAGGCAGGGTTGCCCAATCTCAACATTCCTCTTCAACTTTGCCATCGACGACATCCTGGAAACAGCTCTGATGGATGTAAGTAATGGCGGTGTGGATCTGTTGCCTGGAGAACGACTTCTCGACCTTGAGTATGCGGATGATATTGTCTTACTGTGCGATAATGTCCAAGCCATGCAATCCTCACTTAATCAGTTGGCAATCAGTGTCCGCAGGTACGGCATGTGCTTTGCACCCTCCAAGTGCAAAGTACTTCTACAAGACTGGCAGGATTCTAATCCTGTACTCACCCTGGATAGTGAGCAGATCGAAGTAGTTGAGAAGTTCGTGTATCTAGGTAGCTATATAAGTGCTGGTGGTGGCGTGAGTGATGAGATTGATGCACGTATAATGAAAGCCAGAGTGGCTTATGCCGATCTGGGCCATCTTTGGCGCCTTCGTGATGTTAGTCTGGCTGTAAAAGGTCGGATCTACAACGCGTCGGTGTGAGCAGTTTTGTTCTATGCTTGTGAAACCTGGCCTCTCCGAGTTGAGGATGTTAGACGTCTCTCTGTGTTCGATCATCGTTGTCTCCGAAGGATTGCTGACATTCAGTGGCAACACCATGTTAGTAATGCAGAGGTTCGGCATCGTGTGTTCGGGCGCAGAGACGATAATTCAATTGGTGTCACCATCTTGAAACACCGACTTCGGTAGCTTGGACATGTTTTACGAATGTCGTCCCAGAGACTTCCACGTCGTGCATTATTTGCCGACTCTGTGACTGGTTGGAAAAGGCGGAGAGGAGGTCAGTGTATGACATGGTGTCGTGGTATGAAAGAAAGCTGCAAAGGGCCAGCTTCTGTTGGTCCTTCATGACTCCTTGGCTGGGGTCCGAGAGATGGTGCAACACGGTGTCTAGAGACGTTATCAGATATGGCTCAGAATAGAAGCCAGTGGCGATCCTGCTGTAACCTTCTTCTACTTTCTTCATAAAGAGTGGCTATAACTTTCCTAACTGAGAGAGCTCTTCTGGCTGTACACTTCAGTTCCCCCCATCATTACTCTTCTCCTTTTCTTTTTTTCCATCTTCTTCCTTCTCCTCGCATTCTCATTATTTTGTCTGGCGCATATGTATCCGGTGCCCTTTGTACCAATACATAAGTGATTAAATAAATAAACATGCTTAGTATCGTAAAAAAAGCTTCCATGTATGAAGCTAAGTTTGTTGTCAATAACTGTATACTGTGGTTTGCGACTGTTAATACTTATATGTTCTAGCTGTTTTATATTTATAATTCTCTAGCTGCGCGAGTCATACATTGAAAGCAAACAAGCCCTTTCACGAGAGATATCTACTCTTCTACGTAATTATCAACAGCGAAATCCACAAAAGTCGTCAATCGGTACAAGTACAGTCCTTTATACAATATGCAACTCTCAGGCTGGAGAGTCGACTCTAGCTATTCGAAGAGGTGGTGTTACATGTTGCAGTTTCAGTGATGACTCATCACAACTAGCTGCCGGATTCGGATCAGGTCGTATCCGTGTTTGGTCTTTAGGTCCCGAGTCTTTAAGGCGTATGCTTCCAGCTTCAGAGTTGAGCTTACTAGATAAAGACGACTCAAGAGTAAAAACCAATATGTTATATGACGAAAATGAGTAAGTCATTTTTGAGTGTGTATTTGCTGGTCGTAGTTTCCCGAGACTTTTAAAGTATTTCCATTTCCAGGCAATCTGTTATTTTTCTGCTAAATATCCTAATCTATGTACACACGTACCGATTATACATTGCCTTTGACTGAATGAACCATTCTACTTAGTTTTATTATTTCTAAACCTTCCACCAATTAGTCATACTCAGCACAGGACCTGCCACAAGTGTGTATTAGTTGGAGTAACCATACTCAATCAACACAAGGAAATGAAAGTTGCAAGATGAATACCGATGAGCTGAAATAACTAGTAGCACCGACAGTAAGAGACAGCTTTGAGAATATGGTTCGAGAATAGGGAGTGAAGTGGTGTAATTTCATTCTCTGTTGCTTTAGAAATATAACCTCCGTTGAAATAATAAAGTAGATATGCAGCTTAATTTATTTGCTCTCATTTTGCTTACGCCAACTATAGTTTGTAACTTCTCAACATTTTTGGCTCTTATACTGACGATCGACCTTGCTATTTAAATCAATAATTTTTTTAATAAGCTGAAATGGTTACTTTGAAAGCCTGTGTGGATAAACCTGGTATGTGTAACTACCCATTCTTAGAAAACCGTGCAGGCGATATATACAATGAAAATTATAGTTGAACAACAGCAATTCACCTACTCGGAGTCATAGAATCCGTCTAAGATAATGACAATAATTCATTTAAAAGTCCGATCCAGGAACTAGATTACTTAAATTGTTATAATTTGGATCGAAAGTGATATAAGACATCATAAGCTACATCAATAAAATAGTTGCATGGAGTTCTAAGTGTGAACGGAACACAAAAGGGTGAATATAAACAAGGCAATAAATGATAGTTATCATTTGCAACCTCTTCTATCAACAAGTTGGTGATTTCATGACATTATGGACGTATGTGATAGAACAAAACAGTTGTTAGCTCGTTATTTTCATCGTTACATATTTTTATGACTTGTGTATGATCCTCAGTATTTTTACATGCATTGTCGGTTGTAATTTCCACCTCAGGTAAATTGTTACTTTATACAACACCTCACTAAGTACCGCTTTAAACCACTCAAATTTTACTTGCTTTAGTATTGCACCTTCACTACATAAAATCTTGTTTTCGTTTAGACATCAAACTAATTATCGTACTAAAACCACCCGTCTTTGATAACGTTAAACTGGTAAGATTCCTTAATAACAGATTTCAGGAAAGTAAACTATTTTAAACCATCTTCCATCTTTTACCAGAACTTGCTTAAAAGTGGTATGTACCTTAATTGTGTGTACTATTTTAGTGAGACCCACCTAACTCGGGATCTGTTAGGTCATCTTGGCAGTGTGTTCGGTGTCGCATTTAGTCCTGACCGGCAGCTTATTGCTTCAGCTAGCTCAGATGGCACTGTTCGATTATGGTCTACTCTAATATGGGGTGGTGCCCTAACTGCATGGCGTGATCATCTTCTACCTGTTTGGTGTGTTACTTGGGCTCCAACATATGGCCATTATATAGCGACAGGAGGAGCTGATCGTAGTGCACATTTATATGCAACTGATCATGCACCAGATGCTTTACGTGTTTTTGTTGGACACAAAGGTGATGTAACGTCAGTGTGTATACATCCAAATGTTAATTATCTTGCAACTGGCAGTGCTGATCGAGCTGTACGCTTATTTGATGTTCGTTCTGGAAAGCTAACAAGAATCTATACAGGTCATAAAGTAAGTGGCTTATATTAACAGTTGGATTCAGGTTTTCGCTGAATAAACATCTATTACTGGTTACTTTCAAAGATTCTTCCACGGTGTGGGCAGCCGGAAAGTGATATTAGCCCTTATATCTGTAACAGCACACGAAACTAAGTTGGTCACATACAAATCCTTCCTACACCTCCTAATAACTCTCTTATCTCCACGACTAACCCTTCTCACGTCCTTTTATCACCTTGCACCGCTAGGGCAAACGCGGAGCGTTATTTTCAGCCTCCTGAAACCACGCTCTAAACTACATGTAGGAACTTTTGACGTCCGAACATTGTGCCAAATAAGACAACAGGCTTCCTTAACTAAGACTTTAGAATCTCGCACTATCGATGTGTGCTGCGTCTCCGAAACGCGCATACAAGATCCGAGTAGCGTCATTCATTTGACTTCACCATGTCATAATAAAGAACCAACTCGATTCACTCTTCGTGTATCTGGAAGCCCTGATGCTGCTTCCCGTGGTCTCGCTGGTGTAGGTATAGCATTAAGTTCTAGGGCAGAACTAGCTCTTTTAGACTGGATTCCAGTAGACAGTCGTCTGTGCGCTGTCCGACTAAACACAACAGTAAGAACTCGGAAAGATAGGGACACTCGTCGTCGCTTGTTCGTCGTCTCTGCCTGCTCTCCCGCTTACCGCAGCTCAGATAATGTAAAAGATGAGTTTCACAGAAAGCTTTCTGACCTTCTCCGAAAAGTTATGCGCCTTGATGTAGCAATAGTGGCAGGTGACTTCAATGCTCAAGTAGGTAAACTAAGCGAAAGGGAAAGACACCTGGGTCGATCTTATGGTGTCGTGGCTCGAAAAACAGATAATGGCGACAGCCTGTTGCAGCTATGCTCAGATAACCGCCTGTTTCTTGCAATTACCAACGTTACACACAAGGAAAAACATCTTTTGACATGACGACCCCCGAATTCGTCCCAACGTTGGACCCAACTAGATCACATCGCTATCATTCACCGATGGAGGGGCTCGATAGAAGACTGTTGCTCATTCTGGAGCTAATTTTTAGATTCAGATTATGCTCTAGTGCGGGCATGTGTCTGTCTGCGTCTTACTAGACGTAGGAAAGACGCTGCAAGGAAATCTTGTAGTGTTCTATTTAATGATAGGCAGGCTAAGAATATATTTCAGGAACAACTAGAAAAACAGTCAGGCAGTCATGTAAGTTGTGGCCACCCCGAGGCAGCGTGGAATGACATCCGAAAAGCTGTGGAAACAGCAGTGATATCTGCTAGTACGGTAAACCATAAGGTTAAGGAGAAACACTGGATCTCAGCAGCATCTACTGCACTGATCGATGCTCAGAAACTCATCCCATATGGCTCTGAACATAACGAAGTCAGCTTAAGCGCAGGTTAATGAGAAGCCTACGCAATGATCGCGAACAGTGGTGGGTAGCGAAAGCAAGAGAGATGGTAAAGGTAGAGGTAATAGGCAACAGCAGACAAATGTTCAAACTTGTTAAGAAAACCGATATAAGGAATCCAACTGTTAGCGGAACTGTCTAGGAAAAAGATGGACATATTACTCACTGTCAGTCTAGGAGATTGGATCGATGGGCAGAACACTTTAGGGATCAGTTCAACTGGCTTTCAGCCACACTTCGGTTTCCCACGTTCCCCGGTCGACCTGAATGGCAAGTTGATGTAAGTCCTCAAACTCTTTACGAGGTTGATAAAGCTATATGAAATCTGAAGTGAGGGAGAGCATCAGGCCCTGACAGGTTTACCCCTGAGATTTTTAAGGATGGTGGTCCAGTACTAGCAGCAAAATCGACTGATGCCTTAGGTAGAATCTGGGAACTGGACGTAATTCCATCGGACTGGTTCCAATAACCGATTGTGCCAGTCTATAAGAAAGGACAAAAGTCCTCTTGTGACAATCACAGAGGAATCAGTTTGACTAATATAGTGTCTAAAATATTAGCTTCACTAATACTTCGACGCCTAACCAAAGCTCGTGAAGAGCAGACTAGAGAGAATCAGGCTGGTTTTCGATCAGGACGTGGTTGTATAGACTAGGCGTTCACACTGCGTCAGGTCCTAGAACATAGACACACATTCAGACGACCCACAATAGTAGTATTTCTTGACCTTAAGGTGGCATTTGACCCTGTTGATCGTGAGGTTCTGTGGCAGTGTTTGTCATTAGAAGGAGTACCAAAGAAGTACGTTAACCTTATAAAGGCTCTCTTTCCGAACACAACTGGTCGAGTTAGAGCTTATGGCGAACTGTCATCAGAATTGGTTACCTCAAGTGGTGTTCGTCAGGGCTGTCCACTCTCCCCATTCTTGTTTAACTTTGTCGCTGACATGCTTTTAGAGATAACACTTTCATCATCTAAATCTCCAGGAATTGAATTTTTACCAGGAGACCCACTTGTTGACTTAGAATACGCCGACGACATAGTTTTATTCGGTGAAGACGCTGACAAAATGCAGAGTCTTCTGACCATTATAAGCAACAATGCAGGCATGTTCGGGATACGATTCTCCCCCTCGAAGTGCAAAATGTTACTTCAGGATTGGGTTGCATCGACAGCTGAACTAATGATAGGGAGTGAAGTAGTTGAGCGTTTTGACAGCTTCACTTGGGAGTCTCATCAGCCCTTGTGGGTCTGGTGTGTGACGAAATCTCAGCACGGATACAGAAGCTTCGTCTAGTTTTCGCCAACTTGCGTCATTTATGGCGTAGGCGAGATATCCGTCTAGCAACCAAAGGACGGGTTTACTGCGTAATAGTTCGTTCCGTCCTACTTTATGGAAGTGAAACATGACCGGTAATAGTAGAGGATATTTGTAGGCTACTAGTTTTCGATCATAGGTGTCTACGAAGCATTGCTCGTATATCCTGGGACCACCGGGTAAGTAATGCAGTTGTTAGGAAACGGGTACTAGGCAAGGATGGCAAATCGATTGATGAAGTAGTGAAAGTTCATCAGTTGAGATGACTGAGACATGTGTTACGTATGCCCAACCACCGACTGCCCCGACTTGCAATGTTTCATGGTGTAGGAGTAGGTTGGAAGAAAGCTAGGGGCGGCCAGACCAAACCGTGGCACAAATCAATGAAGTCACTGACAAGTGGACTGGGCCATGTTGGTAGGTGTAGACTACCTGGTTGGGATTCGCGAGATGACAGCAACCGATGGTTAGAGACCTTGAATGACATGGTTCAAAATCGTTTGCAATGACGAAGGTGCATCCACTCTTTGTGTTCTACCAAATTCTAATCTTCTGAATTCCTCATGTCTTTATCTTTTTCTCTTTCCAAATTTATTTCACTGTACTATACTCCTTCAATGCTTTCTTCAAACCCTAATCTTTTGGATTTCTGATTGTACTCCTACTACTTCTACCACTATGGGATTTGAATCGACAACTTTATCTCTGTGCTAATGTGGTATGGCAACTTGAACAAATGTGTGTACGTACATACACGAAGTTCTACGTTGTGACTGACTGACTTTCAAAGATTACTTGTCGTTTTGTAATCATATAAGTTTATCTTTGTGTACACTAACCTAAGTTTATATGAACATTTAACCGAGTTAATGAAGAAACAGAATAGTATGCGTTTGTATCACTTTTATAATTCAGTAAAATGTCGACATATCAGTGGTATATTTTAGGACGATCGAGCTAGCAGTTCTGAGGTTAGATGCAGAGTAGTATGTAAGTATGGCAAATCAATTGACGAGATAGTGGATCTCTGTTGACTGAGATGGTTGGAGCATAAATTACATACCCACAACCATCGACTACCTCGACACACATTCATGGCTACTGTAGGAGTAAGCTGGAGGAAACCTAGGGACAGTCAAACTAAAACATAGCATCAGTCCATGAAGACACGAACTACTGGACTAAACCATGTAGATAGATGCAGACTAGTTGGTAGGGGTTCGCGCGACCATCGTAACCGTTGGTCTTAGACTTTGAATAGTATGGCTTAGAATTGTTTGCAGTTGCGTCCACTCCTTATCTTCCCTGAGATCCTAAGTTTCTGAATTCTTTATAATTTTCTCTGTCTTACCAATTTGTATTTTCTCTAATTGTTTATTGAGTACCTAGTTAATATTATTCCTGTCACTACCTCTACTACTGTTGAATTTGGCCTAACACTTTCACCCTACTGTGGTAATGCGGTATAGCAGCTTGAACCTATGTACACATGTACCAGATTCTACGTTGGGTTTGACTAATTGACTAAGTTGTATGGCTCCAAATTTTGAAAAGAAATAAGTTTTGACAATACTTTTAGTCCATCACCACCCACAAGAATTCCTTTAAATTAATATTACGAAATTGAGAGGACAAAAAGTGAATGTCCGGCGCTTTAACCGGGTTGGTGGATACGGAGAACCCACATAGGAGAGTTGGAAAGCCCTGATTTAAAACCAGTGGTGAACATGGGCTCCAGGATCCTAAGGGAAAAATTGGCATGTGAACCTATTTTCAGTCACGGGCTACCATGGGAATGCGCTTCCTAACGTTGCTCCACTGCCTTGTGGGTCAGACCTCTAGGTCAAAGGTTCAGGTTGTTGCCTCCTTGTTTGCTTCAGTTCGGGTGCAGGGGCAGTATCCCAGTCTTCACACAAATCAAATGATTTTTGTGGCACATATATATTTGATTCCTCCTTATACCAATGTTTATGTGTTTAAATAAATAAATATAATAGTACAATACATTCGTTGTTTTCATTTTCGCACAATATATTGTACTCACTATTTTTCTCTCCAATATTTCAGGGTTCTGTTCAGACTCTGGCGTTTTCGCCTTGCGGTCGTTATCTGGCTAGTGGAGGTTGGTGTGGTACTACATGTCTTTGGGACTTGGGGTCTGGACAACAGGTTGGTCAACTTGGAGGTTATTCGGCATCTAGGGCTCCTGTAAATCAACCAAGTAATGATTTTGACTCTCAGGAAGCTAATTCGGACTCAAGTCAGTGGTTAACTGGTCCAGTTGTATCTCTCGCATTTTGTCCGGGTAATTCAGGACGTTTGGCCTCAGGTGGTCTAGAAGGAGCACTACGAATATGGAATACAGTTAGTGGTTGGTCAACTGCCGTTACAACTCCAGCTACTGGTAATAACGATGATAAAAACTCCAAAACCAATCTTTTGGCATTGCATCGATTCACCAAACAGCAGTTTGTCCGTCAAAACTCAAAAAATAATAAGAGCAGTGGAGTTGGAGGTCATAATATTTTAGGATATTATTCTTCAGCGACTGGTCCTGACGTTTCTGATGCATGTGCTAGCGAAGTGTTTTTCACTAGACGTACCTCAGTCCTTGGACTGCACTATGTTCATCCTTATTTGCTTTTGGCAGCTGGACCATATAACCAAACCTGATTGCTTTAAGTAGGTATTCTTAATGTACAGTTGATTTTTATATTTCATTCCCAAACATTGTTTTGACACTTTTTGTTCAGATGTTTTTTATACTACTGCATTTCCATAAAAGTAGTTAATGTTATTTCCCTAATATTTTCTAGGCATTAGTGGTATTTATACGTACATTATTGCGATATTTCATTTACCTATCCTCAATTTTCCGATTTTTTCACCAAACTACTCTGTAATTAACTAACACCATGTACAAAGTGTAAATTGATTTTTCAAACGAAAAAAGTTGTTCTTTTATTGCACTGGTGTTTACACCTAGTGATGTCATGCAGTTGTAATCAACCTAAAATCTGGCACAAATATAAATTAACCCAATTTGCATTTAACATCAGTAAAATGAAAAAGGGGTATTTGCAGTACAGAAAGCGAGGGAGTCGAAGTAACTGCCATCAATAATGACATGAAATTCAACATAAAGAATATATTAATAATAAAGTGAATGGAAACACGATTGTTAAAACTTAAAGTCCAGAGAAAACACGTACTGGCCAAAATATGTTCCACTGCAACCAACTTTGATTTATCACCATAGATTATTTTGCAGACGTAAACCTAGGAATCCCCACCTCCCAAGACAGTCATGAATTAGTCCTATGTCAATAAGTTTGTTCGTCCCATACTTCTTTCCAACTTAATCAAATGCTAGCGACCATTATAAGTTGGTGTAGGCGATGGTTTAAGCATACAAAACCCACCTTTAATTATGATCCTACATCATCTACTGAAGACATTCTCAATGATATACTCTTTATGGTTCAGAACAAATATAAAAAGAAAAATGGGAGAGCTTCAAAGTCAAGTTTAGAAAGTTGGTTACAGATTGCTTGGCGGGTTCATGACGCTGTTCTCTCGGGATTGTCTTGCATTTCATACTTTGAAAATTTGTAAGCATCAAATAATGATACAGTTATTCGACTAGCTAACTAATTACTCCTATCCATGGATTCAGTGTTACTCGTGTTTAGTCATGTAAGCGACAGTATCTTAAAGTAAATGCAGACAAAACAACAGTCAATGTTTCTCACACCTATCTCCATGCAATTGACTAAAGTTCATAGTTGTTTTTGAAGGAAATACAGCGAAAATAGTTTAGCTATGAAGATATAAACAAAGGTGGATAAATCAGCTGTTTCTGTTGTGCTCTAAATAAGTCCCTGCACCAAATGATTCCTACTATAGGGGACGCTAACCAAATTTCCTGGGCTACCCAGAATGATAAATGGTGATTAAATGTTGGAGAACCACTAAGATTGAATAATTAGACTATCCCTAAAATAACGCTCGGTTTTCTCCCTTGCACAAATGGGAAGCTTATTTACTTTAGACGAATAATTACACCAGAAACCCTCCTAGTGTCTATTATACAGGATTTCAACACAACTCCGATCAAGAACACTTGACTGGCCTGATCAGAGCGTAAGTATATTACCAACCAACAATAATAATAATAGGGGTACGAAAGTATATGACACATCAATACCTGTCAGTGTAAGGACGGCTCGTTGGTAAACTCTAGGAAGCTTTAAGAAGCCCAGAAAGAGCCGGACATATTCCATCCAATCACTGCTAGGGGAATATTCTAGAATGTCGACGTGTAGCTTCCCCATTGGATGGATAAGAATGACCCCTATGTGCCTATTGGTTGACCGAAGTGATGATTTACATTCAGCCAATAACTGTAAATACACGAGATTTCTGTACTATATTTGACACTGTTTTGGGGAATAAAGTTTCACTTACTAGTCTTCTTTCTTGCGACGTTGCGGGTTCTATCGTTCAAGTGGTCTAGTAGTACGCGGCATAGTAAGAACCAAAGCTCTAGATATGACAATCTGACTAGGTAAGCCAATCATTATTTTTCCCACCCACAAATCATGGAGAAGACTACCTGAAATTTTAAATGGTATTTGCACTGTTAAATCTTGCCCCTGTCAATTATCACGTGACAAAATCGCCAATCGGAATATCAACTTATATGATCGTGCTCCTTCGCTAAACCAATAACACGTCCACCAGCACTATCAGCCCTGCATGAACTTTGAATCCTTATTGGTCTTCAAAATAGTCACTTATCACCTAGCCCCACCCATTGAGTCCAGAATACAATCTCAACCTCCACTGTATGGATAATCCATTTCAGACGTACGTAGTTTGTATACAAGCAAACCAGACCGCATCATACCTTAAAAAAATACAAGATCGAGTCGAAAGAGGCTGTGAGTATAAGAAACTGTAGCTAATAGATTGAAAATAACTTAGGAATAGTAAATGTTATAATAATAGCCAATGGGTCAGTTGGAAGCTTATGATAAAAGAAATATAATTATACATAATCCAGTTATTTAACAGTTATACAATAAGAATATATATATAATATCAGTCTATAATTAGTTACCAGAAGTTACCCATAATTTAATATTCTTCTTCTTCTTCTTCTGATAAAACACCCTTTTTTGAAGCACTGAGAATAATAAAGACCATAAGGATATGTTCCTATAGCCTCTGCCAGGGAAGTCCTACTCACTGCCTTCTCGTGGCGGGGGTGTTGTTTACGAAAGTGAGAGGACGAAAAGTGAATGTCCGGCGCTATAACCGGATTGGTGGACACGGAGGGTCCACCTAGGGGAGTTGGAAAACCCTGATTCCAAACCAATGGTGCACATGGGCTCCAGTATCCTGATGGAACGAATGGCGGAAGAACCTGTCATTGGTCAACGGCAACCATGGGACTGCATCTCCTCACGATGCTCCACTGCCTCGTGGATCAGACCTTTAGGTCAAAGGCTCGGGGTGTGGTCCCCTAAGAAAACCACCTGCTTCGGCTTGGGCACCCGGGCAGTATCACAGCCCACACACAAATGAGTGAGTGTGGCGCATATGTACCTGGTGCCCTTTTGTACCAATATATATGTGTTTAAATAAATAAATAAATATTTGATTAGGTTTTCGTCGGATGATATGCGATCACTTGAAGGTGTTGTACACTTTCTCCTATTACTTGAATTCTTTTTTTGGTTTCATGATCCAATGCAGTTAATATGTCTTATAGTACATCGGGCTTTAAATCACTTCTGGTCTTTCACTCTTATCTGGTCGGCCGTAGTCGGTTTGCATGTTGTACCCATATCTTCTCTCCAACTTTCATATCATAAATGAATTCCTTTTCTGCGGATTATTGTTCCAATCTTCCAGGTTGGTTTTACTCCATGGGAATTTCTTGTTACTACTGTTTCCCCCACACCGGACTCTCTGAAAAATACACCATGTTGCTTATTGAATTGTTGTTCCATTCGTTTGTTCTTGCAGAGGCTGGCTTTAGGTCTTAGTTTCATTTGTTCTAGTGGTATCTTAATCTTCCAAACAAGCATCGTTTCTGCTGGGCTTTGCGTTGCACAGTAGGTTGACAAAAATCATTGAATTACATCCTCCATTTCTCTTTCTGCCTCAGCCTTGAGTAGTGCTCTTTTAAAGGCGTCCACAATCCTGTGGTGAGTTAGGATCTGACTCCATTTAGATCATATGAATGATTGTTGTCAAAATATACATCCTGTCTATTCTCGTATGTAATACACGATTTAATCCGTGTCGGTGAATAACGGAATTCAATAAGTCAAATACGAGGATGGATTATGAATACATTTATTTTGTACATTCATTGATCTGGACAGGGAACCAAAGGGACGAAGCCAATAGCAAAGAGAGAAGCATGAATGACACGCATCGGAGATGGTGGGTAAGCCAACTCGCTTCAATCAAGCGTTAATCAATATTTATAGTCAAACAAGAATAAGTTACAGACATGTGATGAATAGAATCAAAAGTGTACACACACATACGCTCATATAAAAAATAGTCAGGGTTAATAAGTGAATAATTGACAAGGCCAAAACGTGACTCATGATGGATAGGTGAATTGGCTTGTCCAGAAGCTAGAATAAAGTGTATAGGCTTAGCATATCAACCGACACTACAATCCTCTCAACTAACTCGTTAGATTGCGGATGGTACGAGGTTGTCTTGATATACCTAATGGTATTGGTGATGAAAAACCTGGAAAATTCCGCGGAGGTAGATTGAGGTCCATTATCCGATACCAACACATCTGGACGCGGAGAACAGCTGAATACCTGTCTCAACTTTCGTCAATACAGACTTCATGTAATGAACCTCTCCATTCGGAGAAGGTATCAACAACTATCAAGATTTGTTTCCCTTTTATGGGATCGGCAAAATTTACATGCACTCTTGACTGTTGATTTATCGTTGCTCCCCAACTTTGCGTTTCTGCCTTTCGAGAAGCTTTAGCGGCTTTCGCATATGCAGAACATTTCGCAACATATTATTCGATTTGAGCATCAATATTTGGCCAGTCGACGTAGCAACGTGCAAGTGCTTTCATCGATGCTACCCGTGGGTGTTCAGTATGCGACTCTAACATCATTTTACGACGTAAGTTTGTGGGTACAATTACATGATTTCCAAACATCAGGCACCCGTCCACGAGTGATAGGGAACTCCGTCAGTGAGTATACTGTTCAGTGTTTTTGTTGTCTATATGAGTAGGCCACCCATATTCGAGGCAACTAATAAACCGTTTCAGCTCTTCGTCTTTTTGAGTATAGCATTTAATATCCAGCGGATAATGATGTTGCTTTTATAGCAACTTGTATTTGGTGATTATCCTCTTCCAACGACATCGTTTCAATAATAACACCTTCACTTCCCTGTTTCTGACTGCAATCAGTCGAGAAAAAGCATCAGCTTGCCCAAACTTTTCTGTTGATTTATATAAAATTGGGGAATCATAACCAAGTAATCCAATACGCCCAGAGTTGTAATCGATTTACTGTGTATGCAAGAATACCTGACTTTGATCCAAATATAGATATGAGCGGCTTGTGATCCGTTAGAAAGGTAAATCAACGACCATAAATCAGTTTATGAAATTTCTGTACTGTAAAAACGAAAGCTTGTCCTGTTTGAATTTGACTATATTTCTGTTCAGCCGGGTTAAGAGTTCGGGATACATGAGTAATAGGCTTTTCTTTACCATCAGGAAAACGATGACTAATGATAGCTCTGATTCTACATTTAAAAACATCACCGACCACAATTATTTCAAGCTTAAGATTGTAATGGTTCAGCAGCAGTTTAGAAGATGAAATTCCTTTCATTTCGTCGAAAGAATTTTGACATTTGTTAGTGCAGTGTTATGTTGCTTAGCCATCAAAAGTTGGTTTAATGGGTCTCGCAATCTATACATGTAAGGTGTGAACATACTATAATATCTAACAATCCCCAAAAATGAACAGTGTTATAACATCAGTCGGTCTGGGCATGTTTTTGATAGCATTTATATTATATGGATCTGGTTGATGGCCATCCTTATCAAATATATATCTCAGGTATCTAATAGACTCGAGCGGGAATTCACACTTTTCTTTTTGTCACTAAAAACCATCTTGCAATATTTTGCTAAGCACAACTTTCAACGGGTCCATTAGTTCTAGAGCGGAAGAAATAATAACTATAGTATGATATAAATAAACTGCTAAACCGAGGTTATATATCATAGTATCCATTTCAAATATAGGAGTAAAATGTATTGTTTCAAATATACCCTGAATGTAGGATTTAAGCAGAAAAAAACCTTCCCTAGATATCTACAAACCCTGATAATTTGACGAACTGTTACGTAACTAAGAGCTTTATTTCTCTTTTTGGTAAATATTGTCGCGTACATACATTGATATTTAGTGAAAAGGATATATAATAATTAGGAGTATTCGACTTAATGTGCCTACTAAAAATTCCCGAAATAGTGCAATTTGAGATAGGTAGCACTAGATGAACATATTATATTTGGAATTCATAATGAGCGGAAATTCAAGTACAAAGGAATCATTAGTTCGTAGAAATACCACAGAATTACATATCCATTCAAACTCACTTTCAGAAAACTTATTGAACTCAAGATGGATTTTCATTTTTGTGATTTTCTCCATCTTTTTAAGTACACATTTAAAATCTTGAACCACACTGACTAAATTCCACATGCGTTCACTAACAGCAAGTGCGTTAACACCATTTTTCTGTACTCTGACGATCGATAGGCTACAAAACATTCTCACTCTTATCCAAGTTACCAATCAGAACACTGAAAAGACCATCCAAGTTCTTTATGTCATTCAGCATTCTTTGTGTATTTTCCAAAACCCACGTGATTGTAGACATAAAATACACGAGCACAACTCATCAAATCATTATATTACAACACTAGGACTTTTGTAGAGCGAATTTGCGAAACAGGTTTAGGATTAGTTTTCAGTAATCAATGAACAGTAAAAGATGAGGCGACAGTTAATTAATT